AGACCTCTCTGTGTCACTGATACAGCCGTGGTGGTGGGCTCTGCCCAATTCCAAGATGTCCTCCAGCCAGCAACAGCAATAGTGTATTTTGACATTAGGTAGCATATTTTGACATCATATGCCTCGTATGGGCTGGGGATTTAGCTCAGCGGTATAAGCGCCTACCTTGCAAGTGTGTGGTCATGAGTTGGATCCCCCGTACCGATGGGAAGAAGAAGAAAAAAAACAAAAACACCAACGAGACATCATATGCCTCCTGTTGTGTCAGGATGGCTTTGGCAATTTGTTAGTGTACATTGTATATATATTCGAATTAATGCCTTGTCATATGTGTAGTTCTGTATAAATTTTAGCTTTGCTTTAGTTCTGTGAAGAATATCTTTTTTTTTCCCCTTGGTGGTACTGGGGATTAAATTTAAGGCCTGTGCATTCTAGGCAAGCATCCTCCTGCCCCTGTTGACATTTTTATTTCTTCCAGTTTTTCTTTTTTTTTTTTTTTTGGTTCTAATCATAGCAAACATAGAAAAATAACCTTGCACTATTTACCTACTAAATATGAAAAAAAAACCACACGTAAAATAGGCAAGCATTTTAATGCTGAGCTACATTCCTAACTCTTGTTATTGATATTTTGTTAAAGATTGCATTGAATCCAGATCGTTTTTTTGAGTGGTATAGAGACTTTAACAATACTGATTCTTCCTGGCCATGAAAATCGATATTTTTCCTTTTTTTGTTGCCCACTTTAATTCTTTTGATCAGTGTTTTATAGTTTTCATTATTATAAAGATTGTTCATCTCTTTGGTTACATTTATTTCTAGAGGGTTTTTTTTTTTTTTGCCATTGCAAATGGAATTACTTATTTAATTCTGTTTCAGATAGTTTGTAATTGGTACATAACTTGATTTTTTTTGTTTACTAAATTCATTAATTTTGTGATGTTAAAAATTTCTGTATATAAATCATGTCATCTGTAAACAGTTAAAACTTTTCTTCTAATTTGGATGCTTTTGCCTGCTTGATCTGGCTGGGAATTGTAGTACTATGTTGAATAAAAGTGGTGAAAATGGGCATCTATATCTTATTCTGAATCTTCCAACTTTTCTCTATTTAGTATAATGTTAGATATTGGCTTTTTAGATATGATCTTTATTATATTGAAATATATTCTTTTTATAACTAATTGTTCAGCATGTGTATCATGAAAGGATTTTGAGTTTTATCAGATTGTTTTCTGCATTGATGAATATAAGGTTTTTTTTTCCATTCTATTGGTGGTGATGTATCACATTCATTGGTTTGTGCATGTTTACCCAATCTTCTGTCTGTCTTTGAAATGAAGCCCATTTAATTGTGAATAATCTTGATATGCTATTGTCTTAGTTACTTTTTACTCATCGCTGAGACAAAATACCTGAAGCCCAAGTTGGAAAAGGAAAGGTTTATTTCTTACAATTTTTGGAGGTTTCAGTCCACACTCAATTGGCTCCAAGACAGGCGGGCATGGCTGGACCCCAGTTCCTGGCAGCTGCCGACAGCAAGCTCGAACCAGCAAAGAGAGAGACATACCTTCTTCCTGCCATTACATCACATCCTGGCTCCACCCCTTTGTGGGTGGAGCACTGACACCATCAATCCAAGCACTAGACAATGAACGAAAAACAAATGCACAATTCAAACTCATGAGGCCTGGGGACCACAGACATAAACCGTGACAGCTATTATATTCAGTTAATTGGTATTTTGTGGCATGCCCCCTTGCGTTTATTTTCATCATCTTCTCCCTTCTCTCCTTCTTTCCTCTCTTTTCTTCTTCCTTCCCTTCTTCTTTCTTTTCTCTCTGTCATTCACTCATTCATTCATTGTTCCTCTTTTTTCTTATTTTTTGGTTGGGTTGTTCTTTGGTTTTGGTATCAGCGTAATGATGGCCTCAAAGTATATTTGGATGAATTCCTTCCTCTTTTATTTTTTGCAGTAATTTAAGGAATATTGTAGGCTAGAAGTGTGGCTTGGGCAGGGTGCTTGCCTAGCATGCTTACATTTCTGAGTCTGAACCAGCAGTGAAGGAAAAAAAACTTAGTTTCATTTGTTTAAGTGATAAATGCACAATGAAACCATCTACTCCTTGGCTTTTTCTTTTCTTTTTGTTATTGATTCAATCACGTTACTTCTTAGTAATTGTTCAGGTTTTATATTTCTCTGTGGCTCAGTCTTATTAAGGTGTTTGTGTCCAAGAATTTGTCTTCTAGGACCTAGGTTATCACATTTGTTGGTGCAGTTGTTTGTAAAAAATCCATAATGATCCTTTGTATTGCTGTAGTGTCAGTTGTAATTTCCCCTTTTCTTCTGTTATTTTACTGATTTTGATCTTCTTTCTAGGTCTGGGTAGAGTTTTTTTTTTTAAATTTTTAGAACCAGCTTGTTCATTTTTTCCAGCTTTTTTTTTTTGTTGTTGTTGTTTTAGTCTTTATTATTTCTTTGCATCTACTAATATTGGGTTTGATTTGTTCTTGTTTTTCTTACCTTTTGAGATACAGCAGTAGGTTCTTTATTTGTGCTTTTTAAATATAGTTGTTGATTTCTAACCACTCTCTCCCTGTCATTCGCTCATTAAACCACTGTTTTCACTGTGGTTCATAGGTTTGGGTATGTTATGTCTCTAATTTTATTTGTTTCAGGAAATTTTAAAATGTTTTTCTTGATTTGTCCCATGATCCGTTGATTACTCAGGAGTAAACTATTAGCAGGCATCGTGGTGCATGCCTGTAATCCTAGCACTTGGGAGGATGAGACAAGAGGATCACCTTGTTTAAGGCCAACGTGGGCTACATAGTGAAACCCTGTCTCAAAAAACAAAGAAAAAAGAAGTAAGGTGTCTAATTTTCAGGTGTTTAGTTCTCAAAAAAATTTTTTTCTTTCTTTAATTACTGATTTCTAGTTTTATTGCAGTGTGGTTGGGAAAATATTTGATAAAATTTCAATTTTTTGAGACATGTTTGTTGCCTGTAATATGATCTGTCCTGGAGAAGAATGTATGTTCTGCAGCTTCTGGGTGGGATGTTCTGGAAAGCTCTGTTAGGTCCCTTTGGTCTTGACGCATTTTAACTCTGCTGTCTCCTAACGTTTTTTCTAGATGACTTGTTCATTGATGAAGTGGGGTATTAAAATCTTTCATTGTTGCTGTATTGGAGTCTGTCCCTTAAGGCCGATTGATACTTGTTTTATGTATTTAATTGCTCCAGTATTGGGTATATCTTATTATTTTCTCATGTCAAATTGACCTTTTATCCTTATATGACCTTCCATGTTTGTTTTTACTGCTTTTGACTTAAAGCCTATTTTACCAAAGTGTTCCTATTCTTGCTTTCTTTTAAATTCCATTTTCATATGTTAATCTATTCCTTCACTTTCAGTTTATATGTGTCTAGGGGTGAAATGAATTTCTTATAAGCAACATATTGTTGAGTCATATTTTTTTATTCTTACAGTCATTCTGTATCTTTTAATTGGAGGACTTACTGTCCATTACATCACTGATAGGTGGTGGTCTTACTATAACCATTTTGTAACTTGTTCTTTAGTGTTACTGTTACCGTAGTTTTTTTTTTTTTTTTTTTTTTTTTTTGCTACTTTTTTTCAGTCTGCTGCTGGTAAGTGATTTGCTGTGGTAGTGTGTTTTTATTACTATTTTTGATTTATTGGAGATTATTGCTTTGTGAATACTATGAAGCTTACAGAAAATATCTTTTGGTAATAGGTTTTGAAATTATAGTAACTTAACATGGTCATAAAGGTAGGGGGAAAAAGGAAAAAGACAAATATTCTAGTAAAAAATAAAAAAATTATTTTTGCTATTTTCTCCCACATTTTAAGTTTTAAATGTTTCCTGTTACATCTTTCTATACTGCCTATTTTTGATACATTAGTATAGTCATTATTTTGGTTCATGGTCTTCATACTAAAAATATAAATGGTTTGGTTTTGATAAATATTATGAAATTCTGTTTTAGTTAGGTATTTTCTGATTTGTTATCTTTAGGGTAAATGAAATGTAAATTTGGTAAATTAAACTTTATCACTTACAGTGTTTTAATTCCTGAAAGTTGAAAAAACAAAGCCAGCCCCTTCTCTCATCATTAATGTGTTAGTAAACTTACTTGAACATAAAAAGAGATAATTTTTTCTTCAACACAGTAACCCAGAGAATATCTTTCATTTCTTGTGTATATAGTAGACAGTGGCAAAAGAACTTGGCATTTGTCATATTCCAAGCCTTAAGGTAATATTTTGGAAAAGAGTGTCACTGAGTATATTTCATTATGCAAATATAGACTTTTTTGTCTTTGACAAAATAAAATTAATCTAGTACTGATGCCTCGATGACTTTACAAATTGATTTATTTTTTTAACAGTGCATTCATTATATTGTATTTGCTGAGTATTTGTGGTAGGTGCTAGGGATTCTCAGTTGTATGAGCTGCATAGTCTGGCTAGATAGCAGAGGACAAACATTAAACGACTCATACGCTGCTGATTAGAAATGATGCATGCCGTGAAGGAGAAAAATAAGGTACTGTGTGGTACAATATTTTGAAAATGTTTTACTTGGTCTTGAAAATTGGAGTTGATACTTGAAATAATTTTGCCCCCATAATGTTGAATATAGTGAACAAATCATGTAGGTAGTAGCTTAGTGAGCATAAGCAATTGTAGTAAATATTTAGTAACTACAGCACAGTTGTACATTTCCATGTATTTTTATTCCACTTTTGCACTGCCAGTCTTTAACTTTGCTGTTGCAGAAAAATGGCATTTTGTTATATTTCAAAATTTGAAGTTGTACTAGATCCTGCAAATTTGTTGGATTCTGCCAAATTCTAGTAGTACAACTCTCAAGTTTTATAGTTAAGAACATAAATCCACTAAATAAAATAATTTTAATACAATATAGAATTAGAGTAACTCTCCTTTTTCCTGCTCACACCTTGATTTGCTGAAGCTGCTTCCCGAAAGTCATGGGTATCGACTCTGTGTTCAGAACTTGCTCCGGACTCTCATTTGGCAGAATCAGGTCAGGTGGCAGTATCAGGTAAAGGGAAATAAGAAACGTGTTTCTTCCCTCACCCTTCCTCTTTTTTTGTTGAAAACATTCACTTAGGAAAAACAGTAGAATAACCAGGTAAAGGGGAGTACATCTGGTGATGCTAGGATGGTTGATGCACAAAGATACCACATTTTTGTACTGGTTTTTTTTTTTTTTTCAACTAGCCTTTAGAATTGCATCACAATGAAGCAAAATTAGAACTTATTGATCATTATAATGTAAATTGATCAAATTTCCCTGGTAAATGTCACTAATTTAAGTGTAAATAGAAAATTTACACTAATTTAAGTGTAAATAGAAAACCTAAAAGGGATTAGATTTCATTTGTTTGTGAATTGGTAGAAGAGTGAGAATTCCTACTGGTTCTTAAGGAACGCATAGCAGAAAACACACACACACACACACCCCAGGTAAAACACCAATTTTAGGCAAATTAGGTGACATACATTTGTTTTACAAATATATTACCAACAGTACTTGGGAGGCTGAGACAGTAGGATTGCCACAAGTTCAAGGCCAGCCTTTGCTACAAAATGAGTTCAAACCAAAAAACTAAATGAAACCAAATATACTGTCAGATTTCACATTCTAAAGGTTTTTTAATGTTGATATTAAAATATCTGAATTATAAGAGGACTCTGAGGAGTTCTTGATATTTGAGCAGTTCTCTTTACTTTAGTACTGTCTTTCAAAGGGTTTTTTTCATCACACCTATTAATTGTTTTATATGTCGATCTTCATTACTGACTTTTTACATTTTTTTTGGTAAACTGGCCTCGACTGAAAAAAAATTACATAAGTTGCTAGGTTAGTAGAAAGCTGAACATAGTATGTGGTCAATAAAGAGTATAAATAAATGACATTCAAGATCCATTTGTTAAAATGGAATAAACTGATCTTACCTCTCTCTTCTTGTTTTCTAGAAATATTAAAAGTTTGTCAGATATCCAGATAGTACAGGTTGCTTGTGGTTATTACCATTCACTTGCACTTTCAAAAGGTGAGCGTTGTTTTTCTTTCTTATTTTCAGTTTCACTACTTGGTATCTAAACTGGGCAGAAAGGCCTTTTTCCAAGATTGTTCTAGTTCTAGCTGCTCTTCATTTCTCGCATATATTTTAGAATTAGCTTGTCAGTTTTTATACAAAGAAAGAAATTGATGGATTTTGATTGTCTGTAAATCAGTTTGGAAAAAGTCATTACAATTTCAAATCTTTCTTTTATTTTGGTTGGAGGGTTTGAAACAGTCTCACTGTACAGTTCAGGCTGGCCATGAACTCTAGAGGATCCTCCTCCCTCAGCCTCCTCAGTGCTGGGATTATAGGCATGCGCCAGCACACCTGGCTCAAACTATTTGAGGCAGAAAAAAAAAAATTGGTCAAGGGAGAAGTAAAATCCAATGTAAAGAAAGAGATATTCTACTTTATTGACTTGTGAGCATAAAGAAAGGATTACTTTTGATGTGAGTCTCAAAAGATGACTAGAAGTTGTTAAGAACTGAAGAAATGTTGAGAAGTGGGTAAGGGCATTAAGTGATGAAGGGTGATAATACTTTAATGATGTAGAGTCAACAAAGTGATGTATTTGAATATATATTGGCTTGTAATTTTATTTGGGTATTGTGAGAGGGATGGCAGACAATTTATATTTCAGTTCAGGCTGAAGGCAGATCTGTTACAAAGGGCCTTAAATGTCATGTTAAAAGTGCCGGGTGTGGTGGCTCACGCCTGTAATCACAGTACTTGGGAGGCTGAAGCAGGAGGATCGTTGCAAGTTCGAGACCAGCCTAGGCTACAAAGTGAGTTCAAGGCCAGCCTGAACTGCTTAGAGAGACCCTACCTCAAAAAGACAAAAAAAAAGTCTGTTAGAGAATTTGAATTTCTATAGACGGTATGGAAAATGGCATCTGTGTGTATTCTTTGTTGTTGGTTTGCGGGGTCCTCTTCATTATTTGGTAGATATATGAATATAAATTCAAGATTTTTTGTTTCACTTTGTTTTTTTGTTATTGGGAATTGAACATGTGACCTTACGCTTGCCAAGTAGGCACTTGTGCCATTGAGTTAAACCCCTGGTCCTTAAATTCAGTGTTTTACTAATGTGGACAGTGCCTGTTTTTTTCCCTTTGTACAACTCTTATGTGTTAGGCACTATACTGTTCATTTAACAGTGACTTAGGAACATTACAGTGTATAGTGATACAGTGAATAAACAGTAAGTCACTGGCTGTCATAATACAATCACACAAATAATGGTATAACTAAATATTGTGGTAAGGGCTGTCAAGACCAAGTTTACAGTAATACAACATTTAAAGGGGGACTAGATTAAATCTTGGAGATGAGTGAATAAAGACTAAGACTTGCTGGGAGAAATGAGAGGTGAAATGGGTGAAGAAGAGGGGAAGGTTGAGGTGGAGGGAATAGCAAGTGAATGAGAAACAGCCACTGAAAAACGTAAAGGAAGGTGAGTACAGTTAGAGTGTAACAAATAAGGCAAGAGACTGATAGGAGATAAAATTTAAAACAAGGACAGACGGTACACATCCTTGTAGGCCTTGTTAAAAGTGGTAAGCTCAAGAACAGTGAGAAAGTGCTAAAATGTTTTCTTTCAAGTGAGCAAAATGATCATGTCTGCATTTTTATAATATCACTGTGTACATATAACTGAAGGCTTAAGCTTTCAATGTGGTCCTGTTGAGAGAAATTATAAAAATGAGACTTGAAGAGTATTAAAAAGAGACAGTCCTTTGTCAAGAAGCATAAGAGAATGAGATAACTCACCTTTCATCACTGTAATCTGCACTACTAATCTAATAAAGAATCTGATTGTACTACTAATCTGAAGAATGCTCCAATAGTAAGGTTTGTAGATAGGAAATAAACTTAATTGTTCTCAATAGTCTGATTCTAGAAGGAAAATACACTTACTTGCTAAAAACAGGAGTATTTCCATCTAATGAGAGGTAGAGTGTTGCAAACTAGAACCTGATCTTCAAATGAAACTTTTTGTCAGCAAAATAAATTTATGATTCTTGTTTTACAGCAAGTGAAGTTTTCTGTTGGGGACAGAATAAATATGGCCAGTTGGGTTTAGGCATTGACTGTAAAAAGCAGACATCACCACAGTTGATTAAGTCTTTGCTTGGAATTCCATTCATGCAAGTTGCAGCAGGAGGAGCCCATAGTTTTGTACTCACTCTTTCTGGAGCTATCTTTGGATGGGGACGCAACAAATTTGGTCAGCTAGGTCTTAATGATGAAAACGGTAAGTTCTTACTGTTTAAATGTACTTTTAAGGAAAGAGGTGATTTTTTTGAGATGAATGAGTGTGTTAGAGTAAATGTGCCTTCTTAGTGTGTTAGAGCAAAATGTGCCCAAATCTTTCTTAGGGGAATGGTGGGAAGGCCAAAAAATCCTTTTGTCTCAAAATAAACTGAAATGGATAAAAGTGAGTTATTGATCTCAGAACAACTAGTAATCAGAAGCAAAAGTAGTATCTTTAGAATGAAATAATAGTTCTATGTAAGAAATATATCCTACATGCTGGGTATGGTGGTGCACACCTGCAATCTCAATATTTGGGAGGCTGAAGCAGGAGCATTGCTCTGAGTTTTGAGGCTAGCCTGGACTACGTGGTGAGTTCAAGGCACTACATAGAGAGGCCCTGTCTCAAAAAAAAGGAAAGAAATACATGCCACATTAAGAAATTACATACATTTTTGGCTACAAATAGCAGAAGTAGGATTTTCAGACTGTTAAGTAGGATCTTATGAGCACCATTAGAAGGTAACTATAAAGAATACAATATTCAGAGACTGGGGATATAATTTAGTGATACAAGCACCTGCCTTCAAGCACAAGGTCTTGAGTTAATTCCTAGTACCATAAAAAAAGAGAGAGAGAGAGAGAGAGATCCAATTTCCAGCATCCTTTCCCAAAAAAGATAAAAGAATATATTATATATAATTGGAAGCAATCAAATAGATTTGAAATACATTGACTGCCAAGTCCTGTGGAGCTTGCCAAACACATTGTTTAACATTTAACTATAAATTCATTTATTCTTTTGTCTTTTTTTGAGACAGAGTCTCTGCAGGTAGGGCAGGCCTTGAGCTCACTTTGTAGCCCAGGCTGGTCTCGAACTCTCAACGATCCTCATGCCTCAGCCTCTCGAGTGCTGGGATTACGGGCGTGAGCCACCACACCCGGCTCTATAAATTTATTTTTTGTCACAATAGCTTGAGTACATAGGCCTGTCAACCCAAGTTAGTAGTCTTGTAGTACGAAATCACTCACAGTTAAAATTATTCAGTCATCATTGTCTGCTGAGATTTGGACACTATACACATTTTATAGGAGGTTTAATTTTTAATGTATTAATATCTTCTGTTGAAATTTTCAGATAGATATGTTCCTTATTTACTAAAGTCACTAAGATCTCAGAAAATAGTTTATATTTGTTGTGGAGAAGATCATACTGCTGCGCTAACCAAGGTATTGTACTTCTAAACATTTGTTATTATTACTTACTATTTCTTTTATAATTAATGAATGTTTTCATAGCAAAGTTTGAGAGTGTGATTTTTGTGTATCAAAAATAATTTGTTTTGAAAAGACATTTTTGAAAGTAAGTTTTTATTTTTTACTTTGTATAGGGTTATGGAATATGAATTGTGAATATATATAGATATATATAGTTGAGTTTCTCAGCTTCATATGAAATACTGCTTAAATAATATTTTGAATAAAATGATTCCATTTTAGTTTGTCATGTATACTGATCCCATTTATATATATAGCTCTGCCTAATTGACATTTAGTTTCCATTTGGCTTATAAATAACATGCAATAGAAGAGACTGGATTTCTAATTTTCATAGGCTAAATATTGTCCCAACAATTATAGTGAACTTTTAACACAGTCTTTTCAGTGGCATTTGCTCATTTCTTTTTTTAGCATGTGTTGTTTCTATATCAATACTGCTTAGTTCTCTGATGGATAGAAGCTAAATGAAAATGAAAACATAGTATAGATGTACAGCTAAGTGGTAGGTGCCTCACTAGCTTGTAAGAGGCCCTGGGTTCAATTCTCAGCACTGCCCAAAGACTAAAACCAAATGAAATACCATTCAATTAACTTTTCCTGAATATTATTTATTGTAGGTTTTCATAGTAACATAAAGACTGGCAAGTTAAAGAATTAACTTTAATCAGACTTTTAAATTTTTGTACTTACTGCAGTGTTGGAAATTATAGCATGGGAAGAATTATTCTTAGTCATTGTCAAAATTAGTGAACTGTGCATGCTTGGAGGCTGAGGCAGAAGTTCAGCCTGGGCAGTTTAGCAATTTTTTTTGTGTGTGTGTCTTTTTCCTTTTTATTGGTACTGGGGATCGAACTCACGTCTGCCTGCTTGCAAGGCAGGTGCTTATGCCTCTGAGCTAAATCCTTAGCGCCGTAGTTTAGCAATTTAGTGAGACCTTTTTTCAAAAAAATGGCAAAGACCATGAGTTCATTTCCCACTATGGAAAAAATAAGATGTACAGTTCTAAAAGTTAATTTTAAAATATTTTAGTTTACTTACTGGGTCTATTTTATTGATTTTAGCATTCAGATTGTGAATTACTGAAATTTTATTTATTTTTTTGAGACAGGGTCTTGCTGTATAGTTTAAACAGGTGTATGTAGTCTAGCCTGGCCTCAAACTTGGTGGTGATCCTCCTGCCTCAGCCTCCTGCATGCTGGGATTTCAGGCATGTGTCACTGTGCCTGGCCCAGAATTTTGTATTAATCATATTGACAAGTTTTACACATGTTAGTCATTTGAAGGAAGTAAGAGTAGGTAGTGTTTTGTGGTGAAGTATAAAGGTGTTTTTGTACAGTGTCTAATTTTATATAGTACACTAATTTTGTATACTACAAAGACTATTAATGCTTTGCAAATCCAGCCTACTGTCTTAATGTTTCTAAATTTATACTTCTGTTTAAAATGCTAATTCTACTAATTTTCTGTATTTCTTTTGTTTTTTCAGAAGACAGTAGTTGGTAATATTTCTTCACTGCTATTTTTGGCATAGATTATTTTTAGCAAAATCACATAAACATCTCACAAGTAAATATCTTATTTCTTTTAAGTAAGAATATATGTTCTGTATCCATATATCTTGCTCTTTTGGAAGAATTTCTTGCATATAGATTAGGATTACTTTATGAAACAGTTCTTGGTGAAACTTACATGAAGAAAACTACATTGAGGAAACCTCATTAGGAGAATTAAACACTGATTTGTAAAAGCTGTAAATGAATGGACGAGCTGTGTTGGTAAATAATGAAGACCCACCAAAAACATAACAGGTTTTTTCAAGTTCATTTTTATATTCATTGTATAAATCACATGTAGACTTAGTAAGCCCACTTACAGTAACGTTCCTCAAAGATGCAAAATTGTAATATTCATTGTGACATTATTTTAATAGCAAATGATTAGTAGAAATCTAAATGGCATCTTGAATCACCCAACCTAGTTGAACAAATAGTAGCACATTTGTGCAGTAGAGTGTAGTGAACTGTAAAAAAGAATAAGGAAAATCTCATTTTAATGCTGTGAAATGATCTCCAAAACAAATTAAAAAAAAAAGAGCATAGTCCAGATGTCTTTTAGGAAAAGGTTAAAATTTGAACATAATTATGTGCTACTTACATTTTTTTAAATAAAGTATTTTGTTGAAGCTCATTAGAGGAGATACATTAAAGAAAAGCCAAATCCATAAACAAATCTTTACATTCTCTAAGCTTATTATTTGTAATAAAATTGATATTACTTTTTAAAAATTATGACATTATATAGTAAAACAAGTAATGTAATTATAACTGGTTTTCAGGTTAAGGGAAATAGTTATAAAACTGTAGAAATTAAATGTGAACTCCAGCTTTTACTTTGAATCACAGTTATTAGTATAAATTCTTATATTTTATTATTTAGGTTTTTGTTTTTTGGTAGTAGTGGGCCTTCAGAATACCAGGCAAATGTTCTCCACTGAGCTACATTCCCAACCCTTTTAAAAATTTGAGACAGAATCTCCCTAAATTGCCCAGACTGACCTCAGAGTTGGTGTCCTTCTGCCTGAGGCTCCCAGGCAGCTAGGAATTACAGGTGTGCATCATCACATCTGGCTCCCTGAATTATTATTATTTTTTAAAAAATACATTGTTATTTTTGTTGTTGTGTTTGCCTTGGCAGCTGAAAGACCCTTGAAGTAATGAGTCTTGTACGGATTAGAAAGCAGTAAACATCCCTTGAGTGTTGTAGATTCTTCACTTAAAAGGAATCAGATTTTTAAGAGAAGCGTATGACTGCATGTCTGGGGCAAAAATGTGTACAAGAATATGGGTGTGATGATGCACACCTGTGGAAGCAGCTGCTGGGAGCCTGAGGAGGGAGGACCATTTTCATGGGTGTTCCAGCCCAAGCTAAGGAGTATAGTAATACTCAGTTTCAAAAAATAACAGAAAGATGTGCAAGGATAGGTTGGGCATTTCATGACGCAAGAAAGCAAAGATTTCTTTGGAGATTTTACTAGATACCAGAAAAGAAGTAATAACTAGAAAAATATCAACTATATAAAAATCTATGAGTTTATAATGATCGATTTTATCCTCAAATCAATGCAAGCAAGGTTCATTGCCTACTTGTGGGAATTTCTAGGCAAAACTCATTTTTCAGGAACATCAGTAAATAATGACAAAAGAACTAAGCATTTATTTTGACTTACGTTTGCAAATTGTATTCTAGAATAATAGTTGATGAACTCAACTTTTTAGAGAAGAATCAAGCTAATAGATCTAAAATAAATGAAAAATTAGAAAATTATCATTTTGTGCTCTGATGAAATAATGAGTCTAGGCAAAATACATTAATGTTAATGGAAATTGGTTAGGGTGATACTTTAATTCCCCCTTTTTAATATTACCAACTGGATATTTTTATTTATGGCATTCTATAAATAGAGGAAGATTATTTTGTGAGTTTGATAATAGTACTATGGTTGTTTTCCTTTTATCTGTTAAAGATGTGCCATTGAACATTTATGCACAAAGTGGTTTGATGACAATTTGTTTTAAAATAGTACACTTTTTTGTCTTAAAATACCCTTAAAAGACAGGAAGGGACAGCAATGAAACAAGATGTTTACCTTTTTACCAATAATTGAAACTGAGGGAAGGTTTTCCTGTATTTTCCTTAGTATAAATGCTGGTGAAGCAAGAATTATTATGTTTTCTTTTTACTCTTTTGTTTTTTTTTTTTTTTTGAAAAATTCTGTGATATTTTAAAAAGAAATTTATTTCCTTATATTGCAATATTTGTAAATTTCTTTGTACTGTTATAAAGAAAGTGGTATGTAAAATTGTGTGGACAGCCACAATAATAAAAGCAAGTTGTGATCTGAAAAATACTAATTGTAGTGTTGTCATCATTGACTTTTTCTGCAACTTCTAATCTAATTACATGTTTTTAGAATTGTTTTGAATATCGTCTCGGTGTCATAACTTTTATATGATAAAAATTGCTGTATTTATGCAGTCTGGTTATGTGTCCTTTTTGTGAATAGCTTTTGTGCTTGGTGCATAGCCATCCTACCAATTCTGAAATTTTATAAATGATCTTTGGAATAGTAATGCAGTGCATTTAAGTATTTAATGAGGACTTTTATCTAAATTTTAAAAATTTTATTTTTTAAAATTTTTACCTAGATATTTTATAATAGTGAAAACATTAGGTACTTGAACTTGCAACATGAAAATATGTAGCTTTTAACCTGTAATTCAGCTGTCATCTGTTAAATTTTCAAGACAGTAGAGAAAAAAAATTGAGTTCATATTAAAGATAATATATTTCTAGAAGTCAGTTATTTTCTATTATCAGGTGGTCTAATACATGGTTTTGTCTTCTTTAGGAAGGTGGAGTGTTTACTTTTGGAGCTGGAGGGTATGGTCAGTTGGGTCATAATTCTACCAGTCATGAGATAAACCCAAGAAAAGTTTTTGAACTCATGGGAAGCATTGTCACACAGATTGCTTGTGGAAGGTGAGCTATTATAGAAGAGTAATTTATTCTCTATACCATGCGTATATAGGGATTGTTTAGTAAATTATTTTACAGGCTTAACAATTGGAGGTAAAAGATTTTTCCCTGAATGTTCAATAACAGGAGAGCCATTTTTCATATGGTAATTCTGTTTCCTTCAACAGCGCATAAAGGCCTGTTTCTCCATAGCCTTGCCAGCAGTTGTTTCTTCATCTTCTCGGGTAGCCATCCTGGAGGATGTGCAGTGGTCTCTCATTATGGTTTCAGTTTGCATTTCTTTATCTTTAGTGATGTTGACTTCATGTGCTTATCCATTTGTGAATCTTCTTTGGGGAAATGTCTGTGAAATCTATTTCTCATTTTTTTGTGTTTGTTTGTTGTTAAAGATTTCTCTATATTCTAGATTTGAATTCCTTATTCACTTACATAATTTTCAGATGTTTTCTTCCATTCTCGGGGTTGATCTGTGTAATGCTGATAATCTGTTTTTTTTTTTTTTTTTTTGGTGGCAGGGCGAGTACTGTGAGTCAAATCCATGGGTTTGTACATGCTAGGCAAGGGCTCTCTCGCTGGGTTACTTATCCAGCCCTTTTTTATTTTTTATTTTGTGACAGGTCTTGCTAAATTGCTGAAGCTGGCCACAGACTTTTAATCTTCTCTCCTCAGCCTCTCGAGCATCTGGGATTATGGGCATATGTCACGATTCCCATCTAGTGTCTTTTTAAAATGACAGGTTGTCTTTATCATTTTAAAAACATTTATTTAAGAGATGGGGCCTTGTCATGTTGCATGGGCTGTCCTCAAACACCTTGGCTCAGAGGACTTTCAGATGACTTTCCGCCTTAGCCTCTTGACTAACAGGGACTACTGCACCTGGTTGATAACTGTTCTTTTTTGTAACTTCTATAGAGTCTAATTAGTGGGGTTTTTTTGTTGTTGTTGTTGCCCAAGCCTTTGGCATCATATCTAAGAAACCATTGCCAACTCAAAGTCATGAAGCTTTTGTTTGTTTTCTTCTACAACTTGTATATTTTGGATTTAAGTATTTGACCTCTTTTGAATTAATTTTTGTATGTGGTATGAAATAAGGATTCAACTTTATTCTTTTGCATGTAGATAGCCTGTTTCCCTATAAAAGTCTTTTCCCCACCGAATGGTCCTGGCACACTCGAACCTCATTTAGACATACACTTTAGAATTTATATCTAGGCCCTTTAGTATGTTCTGTTGGTCTGTATTTCCGCACTGTACTGTTTTGATTTGACTACAGCTTTGTAGTAAGTTCCAAAATCAGGACGTATAAGTCCACCAACTTACATTTCTTTTTCAGGATCATACTAGGTGGGTCATTTTGGGTTACATATGAATCATCAGATGAGTGTTTCTAGAAAAAACATCATTGGATTTTAAGAGGAATTATATGTATTCTGTACATTGCTTTGTGTAGCATTGATATCTTAATATAAGTCTTTGAATCTGTGGACATGGAGTGTCCATTTATTCCTTAAGGCTCTTTAAGCTTCTACCCTTTGCTTGGTAGACTTACTATTTGAAACAGGTTTTTATGGTACTTGAGTATGTTATACATACATATAACTTCCATACAAAGATAATTTTACTTCTCTCTTTCCAATTTGAATGCCTTTTATTTCTTATTCTTCTCAAGTTGCTCAGAAACTGCTCAGGCTAGGCCTCCCAGGACTGTGATAAGTAGAAAAGTTGAAAGCAGGAATTCTTGTTCATGGTCTTGGAGGAAAAGCTTCTAGTCTTTCTCCATTGATTGAAATGTTGGTTTTTCATTAATGACTTTCATACTATGATAAGGTAGTTTTTATCTGTTCTGAATTTGTCAAGAATTTTTCTGTGTCAGTTTTAATGACCATATGTTTTGGTCATTTTTCCTTTATTCTAAAATATATTATGTTGATCAGTTTCTGTATTCTGAGCCATTGTTGCATTCCAAGAATGTGTCCTACTTTGTTGTGGTTTGTAATTCATTAGTGTACTATTGAATTGAATTTACTTTTGTGTTGAGGATTTTTGCATCAGTAGTTTTAGGAATAATGATCTTGCAATGTTTTTTCTGACTTTGCTATCGGGGCAATGCTGGTTTTACAGAAGAAGGGAAGAAATGTTTACTGTTCATTTGTTTGGAAGTTTGAAAAGGATTAATGTTGGTTTTTTTAACTATTTGGTAGAAGTCTCCAAGGAAGCCACCCAACCTAGGGATTTGGTTTATTTTTTGTTTGTTTAGGAATTTTTGACTATAGATTTGATTATATTACTTATTACAAGTTTATTTTGATTTTCCATTTCCTCTCAATTCAGTGTAGTTGGTAGTATGTTTCCAGTAATTTTTCTGTTTCATCTAACTTCTCTAATTTATTTGCTGTACAGTTTATATTATTCTCAGAATCCTTATTTCTGTACCATTAGTAGTAATGTTTCTCCTTTCATTTCTGATTTTAGTAATTTGAGCCTTTTTTCTCATTTAGTCTCATTAAAGATTGGGCAGTTTTGTTGCTTTTTTTTTGGGTACTAGGAATTGAACTCAGAGCCTTGCACTTGCCAGGCAGGCTCTATGCTTCTGAGGCCCTTGTTTTCCCGGCCCTTGTTTATTGCTTTTGTTGAGTTTTGTTTGTTTTTTTATTTTTCCATTGTCTTTCATTTCTTTCTCTGTGATTCTCACTGTGTTCTTCTACTAACTTTGGGTGTATTTGGTCCTTTGTCTAGTTCCTTAGGTTGTAAAGTTGTTGATTTAAGATCTTTTTAAATGTAAGCACTTTTAGCTATAACTTTCTCTCTTAGCACTATTTGCCCTATGTCTGGTAAATTTTGCAGTACTGCGCTTTTTTTTTTTCATTTATCTCTTAAGAATTTTGTAACTTTTCTTTTAATTTTTTTTTGACCTATTAGTTGATTGAGTGTATTGTTTAATGTTCACAAATCTATGAATTTTACAGTTATCCTTTTATACATTGCTACCTTTTGCAATTCTGTTGCTATCAGAGAAGGTAACTTGAGTATGTTATCTATCTTTTAAAATCTGTTGAGTCTTAATTTGTGTTCTAATAGTGGTCTATCCTGGAGAATGTCCGATGTACACTTTAAAAGAATGTATCTTATTGTTGTTAGGTAAAGTGTCCTGTACGTATCTGTTAGATTGGTTGGTTTAATTTTTGCTCAGTCTTTCTTTTTATTTTCTACGTGGTGTTCTATCTGTGAGTGAAAGTGGGATTTAAAATGTCCAGTTATTGTTGTAAAGCTGTTTCTTTCTTAAATTCTCTCCATTTTTGCTTTATATTTTGGTGGCCTATTATTTAATTGGATATATAAATGTTTATAATTATATCTTCTTGGCTGGGGGTTTAGCTTAGCAGCGTAAGTGCCTGCTTGGCAAATGCAAGGTCATGAGTTCAATCCCCGGTACCCCCCTCAAATATATATGTGTGTGTGTGTGTGTGTGTGTGTGTGTGTGTGTGTGTGTATAATTATATCTTCTTATTGTAAACCTTTATTAATGTTGCTATGATATAATGTCTGTATTTTACCATCCTTTCATTTTCTCTTTGTTATGTCTTTGGGTCTAAAGTATCTTACAGAAAGCATGGTCCTGTGTCCCATAGTGATGTTTTGGTCAACAAACCACATATATGACAAGTTCTAAAACATAATGGAATTAAAAGATTCTTGTCACTTGTAATACTGTAACTATCATGAATTCATAGCATATTTAATACCTTACTTGCTTGTTTCTAGTGATATTGATATAAGCAGCCATACAGAAATACAGCAAATACAATGATGTATAGTGCCTAATAAATAACTATGCTACTGGCTTATGTGTTTGTACTCTTACATACTCATGAAAAAGCTTCCTGTAAAATACCGTCACATACTCTGGCAGTGTCCTCACATATCTCATGTTTGTTGAGTCTATTGATTACATCATCTTCTCATGTGCTTGATTTGATGTCGCGTAGTATTTCATTCATCATGACCCTGACATGTATGAGGTCCACCTTGCCAGTAATAGGCCACACATAGTGGATGACCTAGGAACACATAAAAAGATGGACTACCAAGATGAAAAATCTGTGATAGTTTTGTTCTCCATTCGGGTATGTCCCATCCCAGCATAGCTGTGATCTTGAAAAACAAGACCAAGTGATGACATTAGAGTGTTATAAGTAAATAAAATAAGTCATACACAGAAAAACAAATAATACATGGTTTTGCTTATATTGGAAACTTAAAAATATGATCTCATAGAAGATTAAAATAGTAGTTAGCAGAAGTTGGGAAGTGTACAAATATAGTTAGGAATATTAAATTCTATTGTTTTATAGCACAATATGTTGATTATGGTTAACAATTTGTCTGTTTCAGGATAGGATTTTGAACATTCACAACACAGAAATGATAAACCTTTGAGGTGATAGATTTGAGCATGCTAATTACCCTGACTTGGTCATTGTATATTTATGTGTTGAACTATCATATTGTATCTATCATATTGTAATTTATGAATACATAAAATTATTTGTCAGAGAACAAAAAGGAATAAAAACTTTTAAAATCGGCTTCATTCAAGGCTAAAAAACCATTGAGAAAGAGCTGTTATTGTCACAGGAAAACTAATTGACCTAGATTGAAGACCAGGCAGCATAGAAGCATATCTTTCATACCACCATGGTGATCAAGGCCAAAGTAAAAAGTTTGTTTGCATTGTTGAAATAAAAGGGCTGGACCTGGCTACAGTAACTTACTGCTCGCTCTGGGTGGCTTAAAACATTCAGTGATCTTTATTCATTACATTGAAAGTGAACACCAAGTCTGAGTGCCCATGTGAAGGCAGCTGAAGAATTTTTAAGCTCTAGAGAAATTACATGCCAGTGTACATATTCAGTGTGGATGAAACCTCTCTATTCGGGAAAGGGATCTCTGAATGGTCTTTTATCCACCAAGAAACCATGTCAAACGTCAGGTTTCAGGGCTTTTAAAGATAGGGTAATAATCGTTTGGGAGTAATGTTGTAGAGTGTTGATTGTGAAACTCTTTGTGATTTGGCAAAGTGAAAGTCCCAGGACCTTCAAGCATACCAGTAAGGAAGCCCAGAAGGTAAATAAGGAGCAATAAGAACTTGTGGATGACCCAGTCCCTCTTCCAAGATGCTTTCCTGATTTCTGCACCATTGAAATAGAGCAGTACTGTTTGAACAGTGACATACCTTTTGCTTATCTCAGTTTGTACAAGGATACTTTGTGATGTTCCCACAATGAACAGATTGCCTAATGATGCATTTCTCAACAGATTACTGTCATTAAATGGCTTCTATATTTAGTTGATTTTTTTTTTTCAGTATAGCATTTTGGCTACCTTTGTCTTCTCCCCTTCCCTTCCCCTTTTCTCTCTTTGAGACAAGTCCCACTGTGTAGTTTTAGTTGGCCTTGAGTTCACTATGTAGTCCAGGCTGGTCTCAAACTTGGCAGTGATCCTCTGCCTCAGCCTCCTGAGTGCTGGGATTACAAATTCATGCCACCACTACCCGGCTGCATTTTCATTTCTATATATTTCATAGTGATTTTCTTCGTGACTGAAGTAAGAGTTAATTTTAATATCCTAGTACATGTATGGAGTCCTTATTGCCTACCCTGGACCCTGAAAACTGAACACAAGCTGCTCCTGGAACATCTTGATAGATAGGGAATTGGGTGTCTGGGGAGTTCCTACTGTGCTAAGAGCTAAAATGGACATGAACACAATTTGACACCTGAACATTTTCCTAGAAGTTGTAACCCTTTGAATAGACCCCAGAATTTCAAAATAGTTCTTTTCAGACAGATTCTGCCAGTGCAGTTGTTAGCCAAGTAGGGATTCAGATTCTTGATGCTTGCTTCTCTAGCATTTTTCCAGAACCCACCTGTTGTGCTCCATTTTCCACTGTTGCTGGAAAGTGAGTGCCATATGTACTTGGCATTTACGCACCTTGCTAAATGCTAATGCTAATGACTTATTCATGAGCCAGGCTTGGTGGCACATGCCTATGATCCCAGCAGTTGAGAGACTGAGGCAGGAGGATTGCTGTGTTTGAGGTCAGTTTGGATTACATAGTGAGTTCCAAGGCCAGCCTGAACTATGTAGTGGGACTTCTCAAAAAACTAAAACCAGAGCTGGGTGCAGTGATGCACACCTATAATCCCTGCACGCGGGAGGCTGAAGCAGGAGAATTACCCCAAGTTTGAGGCTACCATATAGTGAAACCCTGACTCAAAAAGCAAAAAAAAAAAAAAAAAAAAAAAAAACCCCAAATTAAAAAATGGAATAAAACAAGAATTTATTTGTGTACACATTAATATCATTTGTGAATAACCCAGTTTTGCTTTATTTCTAATAATTTTGTATAATGTTTATATTTCCTAAATGTGCTACCAGAACACTAGTATAATATTCACTAGAACTGTTGAAGAGCAGGACATCATGACCTGTTTCTTTATGGGGAAAATTTCAATGTTTTACAATTAAGCATCATATTTGCCTTCACGTTTAATGTTTTTTCTATATCTATTGAGATGTATGACTTTTCTCCTTTATTCTGTTAATATGGAAAATTGGTAGATGATTCTGGCTAACAACAGTTATGTTTTTTGTAATTTAGTTAGCATGTGTTATTCATAAATAGTACTAGTTTTGATTCATGAAAATACTTTAGTATTATTTGTGATTATCATTGAGCTTGATGTACACTTTTCATATTTTTATCAGTTCTGTTATCTAAGTTATTCTATCCTAATAAAACATTATAAAATAGATGTGCTCTGTTGGTCAAAGCAAGCAGTAGGTCAAAATCTGGATTTAAGACATGGAAAAAGAGTCTCCCTTTCGGTGGGATTTGAGATATAATAGGAGCAGGAAAGAGACCTGAGACACCAAACCTTCTGAGTAAAGTCACTTCATGGAATGAGTACCCAATAAAATACTTCTTTGTAGGAGATAAAAGAGATTAAGAAACTAATAGAATATCTGATTGCAAGGTGCGACATGTATCTGTTTTAGAAAAGAAATAAATGAGTGACATTACAGAAATAACGCTTGAAAATTTTTCAGTCTTGACTAAAGACATAAAACTCGAGAGTGCAGAGTACAAGGCCTACAATAGGTAATAATATTTAACTCATTCCCAAACACAGTGAAACATCACACGAGGATGGGCAGATTTGCAGGAGGACAAACTGGTGGCTTGTATTGTCTTTGCTCTGCAGTTCCTTAGGTTTGATTTGATCACAGTGCCTCAATACGAATCTGGGTTTGTATATGTGAAGGGATCAATTTCTGTAGAAGAAAGAGAGTATTGTTTCTGTTGTGTTCAGTGCTACATTCCTTGACCAGTTCTTAGCCTAAAACTTCTTCAGTGCCCAAATAGTGGGCCTTCATAGGTCATGGCTCTAGTTTAGGGCCTAACAAGTAGGTGAGGAGTGGAAGGAGTTACCCCTGTGGATTATGAGGTTACTGTCCGCAAGACTTCAGTATAGAGCATGTTTTCTGAGACTATGCTTATATAACTGACCTGTGTGGGTACCAGATTTATTCTGTATAGATTATGCTATTAATATTATACACAGAACATATAAAACTTCTTAAACTCTTGAAAAATACTCTAATCTTTAAAGAGAAAAAAAAGTCAGTTAATATTTACTATATTGTGCTCACTATAAATTGTTAAAAGGTGGCATTAAACCTGAGAATTTTGTTGTTTCATTGTAGGCAGCATACTTCTGCTTTTGTTCCTTCATCAGGACGAATTTATTCTTTTGGGCTTGGAGGTAATGGACAGCTGGGAACTGGTTCAACAAGCAACAGGAAAAGTCCTTTCACTGTAAAAGGAAATTGGTTTCCTTACAATGGACAGTGTCCACCAGATCTTGGTAAGTTTTTTGTAAAGTTTTGCTATATGCATTAAAGTTCTTGTTAAAATATTGTTTTTGAGCTTGGCATGGTAGCAGATGCCTGTAATCCCAGCACTTGGGAGGATGAGACAGGAAGATCACAGTGAGTTTGAGGCCAGCCTGGGCTTCATAGTGAGACCTGTTTCCAAGAAATAAATAAATTTTTAAATGTTGTCTATAAGCAATGAAGCTGTCTGTCTTTGCAAGAGTTCTAAGATACATTGTTAATCTGAAATAACAAGCTACAGAATAATGTATAGGGTTGTGTAATTTGTTTATATTTACCTATGCACATGTAAGAAAATTCTGGATAATGTGTTTCAGAAAGTGGGTCATATGAAAAGTATGTGGTGACTAGACACTAGTTAGGGAGTTGTATTTGTTTGTAAAATACAAATAACATAATTTACTGATGTAACCATTTTAAAGATTAGCAGTGTCTTGACAAAGTATATGGTATCATTATCTAAATACCACATCAATTGAACAGCAACTCTAACTTATCTTGGCCCCTCCCAATCTTTGGCAACCACTGTTCTGTCTGTCTCTGAAGTTGACTTGACTCTAACATGAACTCTCATACAGTGTGTGTCTTTCTAGGACAGAAACACTTCACTATGCATAAAGCCCTCAAGGTTCATCTGTGTTGTAATATGTGTTAGAATTTCCTTCCCCTTTAAAAAACTGCGCTGTGTTCCATATATACATGCATGCCACATATCCTTTATCTACAGCCAGTTGACTTGCTTCAACTATTGTTGTAAATAATGCCGCTATGAACATGAGCATACAGATTTCTGAGATCTTTCAATTCTTTTGGGTACATTTTCTGGTTTTTAAGAATTTGAAGTATACACATTTATTACCTATTTGTGATATTGTTTTGATTTGCTTTTTATATCTCTTCTGCTTTAGCCAAATGTGTATTTATTTTCTATTATTCTTGCAGTATATCTGTTTGTTTTTTATTGACATGAATATGTTACTTAGAAAATTGGAGGTATTTGAGTACTGTTTTTGCACCCACTTGGTTAGGTACTGTAACCAAGATGTACTTACTTTTTATATTTTCTTTACTATCCTAAACTATTCCTCAGAATTATTTTTACATTTATTTTATCTCCTGATGGAAATTAGCATCATGGGTTATCTACAAGGTAGTATAGATTTCAGAGTTGGGCATAATGGTGCATACCCATAATCCTAGCACTTGGGAAGCTGAGGCCAAAAGATCGTTGCAAGTTCAAGCCCAATCTAGGCTACATCGTGAGTTGAAGGCCAGTTTGAACTATGTAGTGAGACTGCCTCAAAAAATACATACATACATACATACATACATTTATACTTCTCTGTGTTACAGATTTTACCTATTCACAGTGATGAATGTGATGAATATAAATATACTACGAGGGTTGACATTTGTGTAACTTTATTTTGAATAAAGTTTCTTTGTTACAATTAAAAGAATGTTTTATTCAGGCTCATATTTAGCAAATCTTTGATCTTAGCATTTTTTTCCTTTCGATGTGATTTGTTACTTTTGTGTTTATACTATGTTCATTATTTTTTCAGTTCTTATTTTCAGCACACATATTGTTTTAGTATTATTTTTCTTTTTTTCTTTTGGTACTGGGGATCGAACTCACAGCCTTGGGCTTGCCAGGCAGGTGCTTGTGCTGCTGAGCTAAACCCCAGCCCCAGTATTATTTTTCTTGTGTCCTTGACAGTATGTTTAAGGTTTTTCTTTATACAAGATGTTATTGTTAATAACATAACAACCTGACTTTAACAAGTATGAATACTATAAAGAATCTTTTATTTCTGTTTATAAAGTTCAATTTCTTTTTTTTTTGGCTTTTTCATTTTTATTGGTACCGGGGATCGAACTCATGACCGCCTGCTTGCAAGGCAGGTGCTTATGCCGCTGAGCTAAACCTCCAGCCCCATAAAGTTCAATTTCTTAGGGATGCATTTTTTTTCACCTTTGAAACTGTAGACCTTAAGATTACTTGCATTGAAATGAATATTGGGGCTGGGGATTTAGCTCAGCGGCATAAGCGCCTGCCTTGCAAGCAGGCAGTCATAAGTTTGATCCCCAGTACCGATAAAAAGGAAAAAGACAAAAAGAAATGAGTATTGAGTGCTGGGGATTTTGCTCAGTGATACAGTGCCTGTCTGGCAAGTGTGAGGTCCCAAGTTCAATTCCCAGTACCAAAATACTACTCTAATAATAATAATAATAATGAAGTGAGTATTGAAGTAGACTTTTGCCATGGTTGGTCTTTAGCTACAGTTTAATTGCACCAATAAATTATTGATCCCTAAGTGAGGGATCAACTCAAGTATCCAAGTGGAGTATCACTGAGCCCTTAAAAGGAATGAGTCTCATTGCTAAACCTAGATGAACCTTGAGAATATTATACTAAAAGAAAGCAAATGCATAAAGATAAATAATATATAATTTCACCTACATGAAATACTTAGAGCACTTGCACTTGTGGGTACCAGTTGCTAGAAGGAAGAGAGAATGAAAAGTTATGATTTAATGGGCTTCTAGTTCGTAGAAGGAAAGTTCTGGGATTTATTAGTGATGATGGTTGCACAATGTTGTTGAATGTACTTATTGTCACTGATTTATGAACTTAAAAATTACTAAAGTGATAAATTTTAAGTGACATTTTTATAATGAAAAGTTGTTGATGATCATGTCTTACTGTTATAGAGGAATTAACTAGCTGAAAGTGAATTTAGTTTACACAACTCTCTGTTCTAGAGGTCAATCCCCTGACTCCCACTGTGAATCACACTGATAGCATAAACTGTGTGGTGTGGCCAAGGCCATAGGTAAACAAAGATGTTATTAGCAAGCAGGGTATTCCAGTGGTTTAGAGTTATCTCCATACAGCTACATAAGGGCATATTTTTCATTAGAATGTGTGAAAGTTTAAAGAGCTGTACTAGTTTGCTAAGGTTCTAAATAAACTACTACAAACTGTGTTTTTGAACAATACATACTTATTGTTTCTGATGTCTGGAATTCTAATTAAATTAAAGCTGCTTTATTCTGAAGACTGTGAGGAACCATCTGTGATATAATTTGTTAGTCCAGTGATTTTCCAGCAGTCTTTGGCATTATTGTCATGAAGATCTGTCTCTGCTTTTATCTTAAATTAACATGGCATTTTCAGTATCCATGTCTGTGTACAAATTTCTCCCATTTGTAAGAATACCACTTGGTAGGTTAGGGAATCTATCTTACTCCATTTTGACCTCATCTTAACTAATTAGATCTACAGTGATTTTATTTCTGATTAAAGTCACACCGTGAGGGACTGGGATAAGGGTTTCAAAGTAGGAATTTTTGAGTGACACAATTCATACCTTAGCTGTATCATAGGCATTATCTCCACTAATATAGCCAACTTTTCTTCCTTAAAATGACTAATCAGGCCTGATCCAGTAACAATCATTCTCAGATGTGACACTTTAGAAGTTAAGTCTTTGGTTGCAAAAGCAGTTTGTCCAGTGATAGCCTAAGTGAAAAAGAGGAAAGATTCTTACTGAACCTCTGTCAGTAAGTATATTACTCTTAAAAGATGGAGACTTTTAAGTAAGAATGTGGATACTCACTGAATTTTGGAATTCAGTGAGAATCTGATACCATTTTTCAAATGTTTTGTTACAGTTTACTAGAACAGAGTTAACATTATTGTGAATTATATAACTTTTTAAAGAAATTATTTTTGTGTGTATATCCAGAAACAGCATTGAAATAAAACTAAACATTATTCCAAATAGATTATCATAGTGAACTTTTCTTCATCCCTACATCCATTTCTGTGTAATACAGAGACATCTTAATGTCCATAGATATATTATTAAATTTATCTAAGAGATATCTTTAGAAGCCTATACTCATCTTTCTATTTGATACATACATGGATTCACTAACCTGGTAAAATTCTCACGGGGCTCTGAGTCCTTTGTTAAAAAAAGCAAATTCTGGCCTGTAGCTTATAAAGAGTCATCAAGCAAGCATCAGAGTGAAACAAAAATGATTAATAGATGATGGACAGTTAAAATGACCAAACCAGGTGTGGTAGTACATGCCTGTAGTCATAGCGACTTTTGGGAGCGGAGGTGAGAGGAACTCTTGAGCTATGAGTTCAAGACCAGCCTGAGCAACATAGTGAGATCCTGTCTCAAGCAAAATAAAACACCCCATAATAGTGAGATTAAGTTTCCAAAAGTGATGACTGAGTCTGTTTTCAGAGAACTCATGGATACTTATTAGATATATAAATATGCATGAGCATAACGTTTTATGGATGACTTCCCCAAATCTTGAGCTGATAATTGTCAGATCTTAATACACTAGGAAAACACCACGAATATCAAGTAAAGAGCTTCTGTAAGTCCAAGATGCATCCTAGTCAAGTATGTCTTTATAAAACTCCAATAATAGGTCTGAGGTAGGCCCCTCAAAAACTGCTGGCTCAGGAGGTAGCAATTAGAGGACCAGATTTATGCCAGAAAACAATACAAGTAACAACTGAAATCAAGACTGGTCACACTGTTATCTAATGTGGGGCAAAGTGTTACTGTAACTGATAAAGAAGATTCAAAAGTACTAGTTTATCAAGGCTTTGTGGGTTATGGGTATAGTTTGTTTGTTTCCACATTACTGAGAATTGAATCCAGGGTCTTTGCACTGAATTGCATCCTCATCTTTTTTAATGTTTTAAGACAGGGTCTGTTGAAGTTGCCCAGACTAGACTTGACCTTGTGACTATCCTGCCTCAGCCTCCCTAGATGCTGGGAAGATAGTGATGCACCACCATACCCACTTAATCAATTACATTTTACCTTATAAATTTAACTGAGGGAAGGCTGTGTCTTTGTCTTTTGAGATAGTCTCTTGGTCTAATTTAGGCTGGTCTTAAACTTACTCTGTAACCTGGCCTCGAACTCCCAGCAGTCCTACCTCAGCCTCCCAAGTGCTATGATTATAGGCATGCGCCATCACATTGGGCAAGGCTGTGTCTATTCTTTGGGAACTTTTCCTTTGTGATTTTTATAATAGTGACACATCAAACAAGCATACAATTATTTCTAGCATCTCTTTTTATTTGTTGAACAAATTCCCAAGGCTTCTTTGAAAAATATGGAAAGTTATTGTTAGGTATAAAACATGTTGAACGTTTTAATTTTTCTCTATTTAAAGTACTATTTTTAGAAGTCTGTTAGCTGGGTAGAAGATAATACCATAGATTGAATGACTTAAAGAACAGCCAGTTATTTTCTCAGCGATAGAAAGGATCAGTAAGTTTGGTATCCTTTAAGACCTCTCCCTGGCTTGCAGATACTTGCTCGTAGGTTCTCTGGTGCTCTTTTCCCATTGTCTGTGTCTGTCTGTCCCTCTTTCTTTCTCTCTCTTTCTCTCTCTCTCTCTCTCTCTCTCTCTCTCTCTCTCTCTCTCTGTGTGTGTGTGTGTGTGTTTCTGATATATATTGTTCCTCTTGTAAGAGACCAGTAATGTGTGGCTTAGGATCTCACTTTAAACACCTCATTTTAACTTTAGTCAAATATTAAACTGGAAGTAATTTTAATTGTGTACACACTGTTTTGGGGTGCAGAAACGGAATAGGACACAAATATTTTTCACAGGAAGCTTTATTGCTCCTTCTTTATCTACACTAAATTTGCTTCCTGGTTTATATATTTTTGCATTTAGTTTTGTTGATAAAGAGTTATGTATCATCTTTTGTATAGATAGATTGAATGAGAAAATAATTTTAATTACTAAAGTTTTAGTATTTACTATTATTTTTCTTCTTAAATGGATGATCTTAATTTTTGTTTTCTTCTAAACTTTCATAGCATTTATCCTGTTTTTGTATTATCTTCAGTTTAAATTGAAATATACTGAGATACAGACTTCTGTGTACAGTCCAGAAGAAAGACTTGTAAACTTAAAGGTGCTGCTTATATTTGTGGACCCATTTAACATTCATCGTTTAGTCTGCCTCAACTCTAGCATTCAGAAAATTTCAAGTTATTTTATCATGGAGTCCATATGTGGGGAAGGTCTGATTAAATTAGATAATTAAACAAATCCAAATAGAAAATTTGAGGCTCTTAAAATGTGATATAAATCTTTGACTCTAATTTTGTTGTAATTCATTTTTACGGCAGATTCTGAAGAATATTTCTGTGTAAAAAGAATTTTCTCAGGTGGAGATCAAAGCTTTTCACATTACTCTAGTCCTCAGGTAATAACAACAGCAAAAAATCCAGCTGGGAATAATGGTACACACTTGTAAACCTAGCTCTTGAGAGGCCTGGGAAGAAAGATCGTGATTTTTGAGGTCAGCCTGGCTGTCTGAATTTTCTTGTTGCTGGAACAAAGTGCAGTGCTCACAAGTTAAAGGAAAAAAGGTTTGGAGAGATTTCAATCCATAGTTAGCTGGTTCCAAGGCAGGGTGGCATAGCAGAAGGTCATTCCAGAGGAGAAACAGTCCATGACAGAGCAGGCAGAACTAGTGAGCAGCAAGCAGCTGCAACCTACTTCCTTTTCTCCCTTTAAATTCGATTCAGCCTACAAGCCTATTGATGGGTACCGCCCCACCCCCAGTGTGGACCTTCTTATTACCCACACCCAGACTATGCTAGTCCCAGTCAGTGAGTACCACACACCCTAGAGTTCCAAAAAGCCCCTCCTATGATTGCATGAGACTTTGGGGGGGATGTCTATATACAAGCCGTAATACGGTGTTGTGTAGCAAGTTCTAAGCACAGTGAGACCATGTCTGAAAAAAAGAAAAAGTACATTTTTTTCCCTTAATCTGTTTGCTAAGTTTGTATTTCATTTTGTTTAAAACAAAAATCTCAAAAGCAAGTACATGCTGGGAAGTTCTTTGTTTTGAGTTGTAATATCTCTTCCCTTTGACTAATCTCTTTAATTTTAAAATTTAGAACTGTGGGCCACCAGATGACTTTAGATATCCTGATCCTTCAAAGCAGATCTGGACAGTGAATGAAGCTCTGATTCAAAAATGGCTAAGTTACCCTTCTGGAAGATTTCCTGTGGAAATAGCCAAGTAAGGAAAACATTTTATCTATGTAAAAACAAATATAGCCTGTCAAGTCTGTGATAGAACAGTCTTTAATGGGGTGTGGAGAGTCTCATTTAAATATTTTTGTCACTAGATAGCTCTCACTGTATAGTTTTTATATAAAAACAAATGTCTATAATTTCCATAGTGATTTTTTTAAAGAGAAGTCAAATGAAAAAATACAAAATGTAGCCATCTTAGGATTTGATTTGAAATATGTTCCTCCTGGAATCAAAATGTTTCAGTCTTACCTTTTTACCCCTGGAAGACTTGAGTATTACTTCTTTCTTGAATATTATGGTCATAAATTAATTTCATCTATACTTAGGATTTTGCCCGTTAGTTTTGTTTCTGTGATGTTAGTATGTGAAAGGTGGTGTAGTCATGTGCAGCTTAATGATGTTTTGGTTCACAGTGGACCTTCTACTGCAGTGTCATGAAGTTAAAATGAAGATGAAATTTTCCTATTGACTAGTAACATTGCAGCTCTCATAGGGCAGAGCAGTACTCTTGTTTTTGTAGGATACTTCTGTGAATAAACCTACTGTACTACCAATTATATAAAAGTATAGCACATAAAATTATACCCAGTGTGTAGTACTTGTTAATAAATGAACATCTTACTAATATGTGTATATCTATCTACTTGTGTATCTATCAAGACAATACTTAAAGTAAAAATTTTCACTACTATGATATACAGTCATACACTGTCAGCAGCCTCATTCATCTCATGTATACTGAATGTCTTGAGTTTATCATTTTTTCTTGCTCTTGATTTGTTTTGTTTATTATGGCCCTAAGAGCAGTAAATCTATATCTTATATCCTTGTAGCATAGGTGTGTAGTAGTCTCTATCATCTAGATTTAAATGTACTTAGTGATGTTTCCACAGTGATAGAATAGCTGAACAATCTGTTTCTCAGAATCTACCCAGTGATTAAGTAACATTACCCTACATGTAAGCTGTTTGTTATTTTAGATTTTTTCCCAAACTACAAATTTCTGAATATCCCAGAGTAGCCCTGAAGAATAATACCTATATTTGTCACAACCAGGTGGACTTTAAAAATCAAATGTGCATGCTTATGTAAAATATTTTAGGGACTTTGTATTTGTTTGATGAGTTAGAAGATGAAAATAATATTTGAGAAACTCTAGGGTAAATATTAATACCTTTATCAAGTATTATGTAAGCAGTCCAGTAATTTTCATAATTACTCATTTTAATTGGGTTTTGGTTAGGGGAGTGCTCTGTAACATTAACTGATACTAAATAGTTAAATTTCTTATTTTATTGTTCTTTGCTATTTTTAAATTTCTTTTTTAGTGAGATAGATGGAACATTTTCCTCATGTGCTTGCCTAAATGGAAGCTTTTTAGCTGTTAGGTAAGTGGGAATTCCTTGGTTTGCTGAAACTTCCAAATATATTGTATTAAATAACACATTAAAGAAATAAAATCATTTTAAAGTGTCCACCCCCGCTTTTGTTTTGTAGCAATGATGATCATTATAGAACAGGCACCAGATTTTCAGGGGTTGATATGAATGCTGCTAGGCTTTTATTCCACAAGCTTATACAACCTGATCATCCTCAGATATCTCAGCAGGTTTGTTTTTAAAGTATTTTGTATTTATAGTATTGAACTATTGTGTATTTTGTCCCACCTTATGTCTTTAACCTAATTAACTTTTCAGTTTCATACTGATTATCATGTGTTATGTATAGCTTTATTAAATACAATAATATAAGAATTAAGGTAAGGTTTATATTAAAGCATTTGTAGTTTAACTACAAATATTTATTACATCTTTCCAGCTATTGTAGTAGATTATGAATTACTTAAAATTGATGTGTTGGTTAAATCTATAGGTATAGTGCTAGAAAGTTTTTAATTCTCTTAGTAGTGTTTAGGCATTATTTTTCATTGTGCTTCAAAGTTCATTCATGGTAAGGTATTGGCTTGTTTTTGTTTTCACCATTTTACATTTACTGTAGTATTGGATTTTTTCCTTTTTTTGTTTCTTTTTTTTAAAAGTACATTCATTTTAAATGAATGGTTTTTGTTTGCTTGTTTTTTTTTTTTTTTTTAAATCAAAATACAGGTGGCAGCTAGTTTGGAAAAGAACCTTATACCTAAATTGACTAGCTCCTTACCTGATGTTGAAGCATTGAGGTTTTATCTTACTCTACCAGAATGTCCTCTGATGAGTGATTCCAACAACTTCACAACAATAGCACTTCCTTTTGGTACAGCTCTTGTGAACTTAGAAAAGGCTCCACTGAAAGTTCTTGGTAAGAATTTCAGTATTTTTGTTCTTTAGTAATCTTTTCTCTTTCAGTGAAAATGCTGGTAAGGTTTTTGGTTTTGGCTGTTAGAAATTATGCTTCTTTGTTTATGTGACAGTTTCTAGGAAAAACAACCTGCTTTTCCTTTTGTTTTTTTCTAGTCATTTATTTCTAATTGTTGGAATTGCCAAAGACAAAGCATGTTAGACATAGAATTTTAATCTAATAACTAGAGACAGCATGAAGGAAAGTAAAAACTGTTTTTCTCCTTCATTATCTGGAGTGTGATCTTTCTATTAAAGAAGTAAAGGAAAAAGAAAAATTAAAACTAAACAAACATGGGTTTTAAGTTATCTTTATGTGATGTCAACCTTTTGGCTCATATTTACTAGACTTCCTAATTTCTTGATGTTTGATTTAAATGTCGGTGCTTGTAGACGGGATTTTCCTCATTATCTGATCTCGGTTCTATTTCTGTTTGCTCCTGACCTAAACTTACAGTTGTGTGCTACATTTAGTCCAGAGTTTTATTTTTTTAATAGTATTTCCTAGATATGTGGAGCTGAAATACATAGAAATAACAAAATCAGTGAAGGAAATTTTTTTTATCGGTATCAGGGATCGAACTCATGACCGCCTGCTTGCAAGGCAGGTGTTTATGCCGCTGAGCTAAATCCCTAGCCTTAGTGAAGGAAATTTTTAAGCTAAAAATGAAAGGAGCAAGCAAGAAGCAAAGGGTAATGTGCTGGAATCAGAGGAAATTAGTCAGTGTGTTAGTCAGCTTTTCCATTGCTGGGAGAAAATACCTGACAACTGTAATGTCAGGAGAACTTTATTTTGGTTCATGATTTCAGAGGTTTTGGTCCAAGGTCAGTGTGGCTATCTCCAAGGCAGAAATACTGGTGGCAGGGCATGGCTGAAGAAAACTACCTAATTGTGGCATCCAGGAAGTAGAGAGCAAGGGAAAAGCCAGAGAGGAGGAGCTCTGGTCTCCAAGGTCATCTCTGTGACCTGTTTGTTCCAGTGAGGCTTCCACTTGACTGTGCTCGACCACTGAAGTTAGTGCCTTCCCACTCCAGCCACCTCACCAGTAGTCTTAGTCCAGTCAAACTGACCATCAGGATTAACTGTTACCACCAGTAATAGACGAGCGAAGCAGAGACTCAGTAAAAGCACTGCTTCCACTTTCAGAAGTTTTTGAATTCTTTTTACCTGTTTCATAGGATCCTATTATGTAGTAAATGTGGGCAAGGACAGGTGTGATACAACTTTATATTATATTTCTGCATTTGATTTTCAGGAGTTCTTCACATTTTAAAGGTGATGTTCCCCAATATTTTAGCTATATATTAAGTGGGAAGATAAGACTTGAAAATCCTTAAATAGTAAAACAATGTAGGTTTAGAATATATTTTGTTTTTAAATTTAAAATGTTTTCAAAATGTTTTAAGTAACTTTAATACTAACTATAATGGTGGGTTTTTAAAGTAATTTAGGCAACCAACTGTGTAAATTCAAAAACTTAGTAAGCATTTTGTAGTTTCCCCCTTTTGAGAGCTTTTATGACAGTGTAATTAAACCTGGGGGTGGGGTAGGGCTACACATATTTCTGGGGTTTTCAGAGAGTTAGGAAAAGCCAGTATAATATTGAAAGTTTTGATTTTAATATTTTATTTTATTTACATATTCATCCTTTAATAATAGAAAACTGGTGGTCAGTGCTTGAACCTCCACTATTCCTCAAGATAGTAGAACTTTTTAAGGAAGTTGTGGTACATCTTTTGAAACTCTGCAAGATCGGCATTCCCCCTTCTGAAAGAAGAATTTTCAACAGTTTTCTTCATACTGCATTAAAGGTTTTAGAAATATTACATAGGGTATGTCCAATAGCTTATTTTCCTTTTTCCCCATTCCTACTAACAAATTGATAATATTCATTTTAACATTAATATATTAGAGGTTTAGATTGTCATGAAAATATATTTTATATAAATTTAGAAAAACTATTTGTAGTTTCCTTTAAAAGAAGTAATGTATTTCAAAGCTTTAGCTTTGTTAGGCTTGTTGGTAGTTGGGAAGAACAATAGCATATTAGTGAATTAGAATTCTCTCTCTTTTTAGTGAAGAACATAATTTTTTGATTTAATGATACATTTTTGTTATAAGTGGTTATCATATGAAAGAAACTAGGCTCTAGTTATGAACATTTAAGCTCTTGTTCTTTTGGTATGAGATACTAATGGCCTCAATCAAAATAGAATGTTTCATTTGAAACAAGTGACTAATTATAAATTGGAACATTATATAATTCATTAATTTGCCTATTGTTCTTTCCTGCCCTTCTTCCCAGTGTAAGAAATAGTACCCTTTACACTTGTAGCAGGACAATTGTATGAAGAAGTAGAGTCTCAGCTGTTTGCTTACAGATGGATTTGAGTCCTCCCTGACAGTTGGTAGATATATATATATATCTGCTGTGCCATTTGGTATTTTTGAATTGCTGTTCAGGTGAGACATGACCTAAGGGAGAAGCTTATTTCTAGACCATACATAAACTGAAAAACCTACATAACCTTTGATCTTTTTTTTTTTTCCTTTCTTTCTTTTCTTTAACTGCTTCTTTGTACTTTTAGGCCCTCCTTGCTTAGAATGAAGTTATATAATAGGGGCTAAAGGATAGTCTTTCTGTTCTCTGTAAGAAAGAACTTTTTTTGTAGACAGGATCTCGCTATGTAATTCAGGTTGGCTGTGAACATGGAGCAGTACTCCTGCCTCAGCCTTGTAAGTTCTGAGATTATAGGCATGTACCACATTAGGCTGAAGAAAGAACTCTTATGGGTCATTTATTTTCCTTTCTTTTAGTGAAACTCTTGGGTATTTTCAATTATTTAACTCCCTGAACTTTTTCCTTTTGTATTCAATGTGTCCAAGATTCCTAGAAAAACAACTAATTTCTTTTCTCATAAAGATTTGGAAAACGATAGCCCATCTTTATTAGAGAAACAAGTCATTCCCCAGAACACGGCTTTCTTGCTGCATATCAAGGCCTCAGTCTGCAGCAAACTGCTATTACAAAGATCCTCTAACTCCTTGGGTTGGATCACTACTTTTTTGTATACCTTTTGCTTATAATGTAAGAGATTAGATTTTTCTTTCTTGACTTTTTCCTACTGCTTCAATGAACTATCCCTTTTCAGTTGACCTTATCCCTAAATAATTACTGTCTTTGTCTTTATCATCTACTTATCTTCTCACCTTTAAAAGAGTTTTTTTCTCCTTAATTGTGTTTTTTCCTCTGGGAAAGTGGGTAGGGCAACCCAATATTTTTGTCTCGCATGACTGTAGACAAAACTGGAGTAACTTAACCTGCCTGTCTTAGAAACCTTGGTTTCTATTTAGGGAGAACTGCATAAGAGTTTCATCTCTGGAAACTATTTTTTAAATGATTAAAATTTTAAAATCAGACAACATCTCATTCCTTAAAAACTGTTCTTAAAGAGACCACTTTTTCAAAAGTTTTATTTTGAGACAGGGTCTCCTTAAATTGCTTTAATTCTTCTGCCTGTGCTTCCCGAATAACTGGAATTACATACTCAGTCCTCAGAGACTATTTTGATTTTAGAGACAGAGTCTTGCTGTGTAATTCAGGCTAGCTTTGAACTCACTCTGTAGCCAAGACTGGCCTCAAACTCATGACGATCCTCCTGCCTCTGGCTCTCAAGTGCTAAGATTATAGGCATGCACTGCCATAGGCACTTTAGGATATGAATTTTGTTAGTTCAAAGTGAAGCAAAAATAATATAACATTTATTGCTTGTTAACAATATCCAGTATTAGAACTTCTTTGTAATACGTGTGAGTGCTTTGAATATATATATGCACTTCAATTTTCTAATTTTCTGTAATTGGTATTTTGCTCCTTTTTATAGATTGGAAAATTGAATTTGAGCATCAAAGCTCATAAACCAGTAAATAGTGAACTGAAAAACAAATTCCCTGATGTTTCTAATATTCTTCTTTTTTTAGCAGATAATAACATACACTAGAAGTTCATACGTTAGCTGGCATTGTTAGATTGCATATAATACTGTATTATGTTAAGGGATTTAGATTAGGAATCAAGCTGGGTATGGTAATGCAGCCCAAGGGTATATAGCAAGTCCTAGTCGTCCCCCCCCCCCCCAAATACTGAGACTCAAAAGGTCATGTTTCAGTTCTTTTTTGGTGCTATGTGATTTTTTTTTTTTTTTTTTTTTTTTTTTTTTTTTGTGGCGGTACTAGGGATTGAACTCACGACCCCTTGCTTACCAGGCAGGTGCTTCTGCCACTGAGCTAAATCCCCAGCCCTGCTATATGATTTTTGAACAAATCTTTTTTTAAAATCACATATATAAAGGAACAATTATCTATAAAATAATTAAAATATCAGCCCTGATAGTTTCCTAGGATTGTTGTATTGTTTAAGTTATACAGCATATGGGCCTGAGTTCAAAGTCAATCTGAACTACATAATGAGATCCTGTGGCAAACCAAAACATAATATGTGGACATTATTACACATCAGAATCAGGCACTGCTATTTGTACAGAAGACCACTACTTTAATTTATTGAGTTACTAAGAAACTGGGTTCTTGTTTGAAGTTATTATATACTTGAAAGCAGGATGATACTGAGAAGAATTTCTTATACATCTTCTAGACATCCCTTAGAGAGTCAGTTGTCTTTCTTCTGCCCCTTACTTTGGAGTTAATGTGCTTTGAATCACTTTCATAAATGGATGCCTATGGGGATTTACTCCCATAGATGATTTTTTTTTTTTTTTTTTTTTTTTGTCTTAAAGACATTATATGTCTGACAACTGTCTTTTTTCTCTCTGGTTAAGTATTAGGGGAAGTCTTTATTTTACTTATTGACTTAGCACTGGAGCAAGATTGTATACTAGAAAATAGAGTTCTCCATTTCCTGTTCATTTCAGGGATATGCTTGTTCCTCCCATATGTCATGTCTTTTGGAAAGTTTTTGAATTAAAAATCATTTCCTGTTCTCCAAATGGCATCATAAGATCTTGGTACCTGCTGTCAGGAATGGATATTATCAGATAAACGAATTTATTGACAAATTATTTGGTCTCTTTCTGGTTTCTGCAACAATACCTTGCAGTGACACTAGTGTGCCAAAAGAAAAGTCTTACTTGGTCTAGCCTAGTTGCCATATATTGTCAACATCTGTGATTTTCAAACTTACTTTTGAAAGAATCCTTAAACCAAATGCACTAGTAAATACTGTAATACCTTTATTTAAACTGAGGCTTATAAACCAGAATACTAACCTATAATTAAAAACATGAAATAGAAGTATTATCATCAAGCTTATGTGGAATTTACTGTGTGCATTTAAAGTAATTCTGAATGCATAGGTTATTTTGAACTTTTACCATGGGATTTGTTTTATATTTATTAATTTTGCAAATATTTATTGAGTGCCTAATGTATGCTTATTATATTAGTTATTAAGGATGCAGAGATAAAAAGATGTGATCTTTGCCCTTATTGAGCGTATAATCTAGAAGGGTTATGTGCATGCAAGTAAATAAACTTACAGCATATAGCACGGTAAGTAACAGATTAGCAAACAGGTAGAGTGTCAACTCTGAAGGACTACAGAGTTCTGGAAAAAAAAGAATGTCTTGTTGAATCATACCTGCCATGCACATTTTGTATGCATATTTTGAAACTCTTGATTTTGTATATAAATTTGTGTGCATGTTGTTTTAAATCAGTCTTTTGTTTAATATTTAATTTCCATTTTCTATTTTAATTGGCTTTCTTTTTGGTTATAAAATAACTGTGAATTAACTATTAGCTATAATTTCTCCACAAGACTCAGTCTGAAATTCGTGTTTTGAGCCAAACTTGGTTTCTAACTTTTTTTTCTTTTTGTGACAGGGTCTCGCTATATAGTTCAGATTGACCTTGAACTTGCTGTGTAGTCCAGGCTAACTTGGAACACAGGGCAATCCTTCCGCCTCAGCTGGGAGTACAGGTTGGGAATATAGGCATGCACCACCACATCTACCCCTGAATTGTTAATTTTTATTCTAGAATATCAGTATCATATTTGGTGGTGTCTGTCCTTTCATGTTTATTGGATACCAACATTATCTGGTTAGAGTTACACCTCTGCTAGAGCCTTTTTTGCTACATGGTTGGGTTAGTGTGTTGTCTGACTTTTAAAATATTACAGTTACTGTTTAAAAAATTTTCCGTTGGAAACTTAGCCAGTTTATGTGTTAGACCAACTTCATTGTTTCTATTGATGTTTATTTTCTTCAGAGTGCAACATCTGGCTAATGTCTATCTCTGACTCCTTTCCTTTTAATTTTTCACTGCTTCTTCCCTTGTCACAACTTTAGCTTGCCTCCTTTTGGAGAAATTGCCCTCAATATGCCCTTGATAAACCTTTCTTTTGAGCTATTTGTAATCTTCCCATCACTTTAAAAAAAAAAAAAAAAGGCTTAATACCAAATTTCTCATGCTTCCCAACTTCCATATTCTTTTTTTTTTCAGTTTTTATGTATTATTAGTACATATTTGCATTCCATAATGATTACAGTCCTTATAAGGATTTAGTCCATATACATAACACATCTCAATTGTTTTTCTCAGCCCTTTTTCTTCCCCTCTCCATCTCTTAGAATCTTCCCATTTGAATGAAATCTTACCTACCTTCTTCCTATTACCTTTTATTTTGCAGATCTTATGCTATTTAAGCTGATTTATTTCACTTAATATTAATGATTTCAAGATGCATTCATTTACCTGCAAGTGACTCAAGTTTATCTTTGTGGCAGGATGCACTCCATTGCATAAAATACATTTTCTTTATTCATTCATCTGTTGATAAACGTGTAAATAGGCCACTTCCAAGATTTAACTATTATGAATTGTGCGTGGGTATGTGCATGGTATGCATGGTATGTACATGGGTATGCATGTATTAAACTAATATGATGTGTTTTTTCAGGAAGATACCTAAAAGTGGAATAGCCATTCTTGCTGGAGTAAAATGGAATCTCATTCTTATTTTAATTTGCATTTCTTTGATGGCCTGCAATGTTGAGCTTTTTTTTTTCCTTCATGTTTTTCGGCCATTTGTACTTCTGCAAAATATATATTCATTTTCATTTGCTATTTTGGGATTGGATTTTTTATTTGAAGGGAAGCTTTACATATTCTACATACAGACCTCTGAAGTGGCAGGGAAAAAATTTTTCTATTTTGTAGGTTGTCACTTCAATCTGTTGATTATTACCTTGCTATGCAAAATTTTTAATTTGATGTGGTCCCATTTGTTGATTCTTGGTACTATTTCTTATGCCATTGAAGTTCTGTTCAGAAAGTCCATGTTTACACTTACATCATCAAGTTTTAGCTATTTTGTCTTCTAGCAGATTGTTTTAACATTTAAATCTTTGATCCATTTTGATATTTATTTAGTGCATGGGGAGCCACCCTGGTCTATATTCAGTCTTGTGCATGTAGATAGCCAGTTTTCCCAGAAGCTTTTATTAAAGAGATGGTTTTTCATCCTGTGCATGTTTTTGGCTCCTCTATCAAGGATTGAATAGCTTCGTTTTTTTTCTGCATTTTCTATTCCAGTGATGACAAACCTTTTACAGCTTTTAGTGATACAAGCTACCCACTGTGGCATGTGTATCATAGATTTGCCACCACTACTGTGTTCTGTTCCACTGATCCATATGTCTGATGTTTTGTTTTGTTTTGTTTTGTTTTGTTTTGTTCTGTTTTTAGAGAAAGGGTCTCGCTTTGTATTCCAGGCTGGCCTTGAATTCGTTATGTATAGCCCAGGCTGACATTTAATTATGGTGATCCTCCTGCCTCAATCTTTGAATGCCAAGTTTATTGCTGTATACTACCATACTGGCTTCACATGTCTTTTTTGTGTGTGTGCCAGTACCATGCTGCCTTTATCGTTGTAGCTTTGTGATATAACTTGAAATCCATGATTGTGATGCCTCACCAAGATCATTGTCTTTCCCCAACTGGCTGTCTGTGTGTATGTGTATTGGCGAGCACTTTTAAAATCTGTTGAATCAGGCTTGTTGTCTTCACTTGACTTGTCTGTCCGCGTAGTGCTATGCCCTACATTCTTTCTTCCTATCTAGAAATCTTGAATCTTTTAGTAGTATTCTGACTCATTTTCTTACCATAACCCTCACTCTACTCATTCTTACCTATATCTCATTCTACCAATAGAATAATTTTTATAAAATGTCATTAATTCTATTATTTACTCACATGAACCTTAAATTGTTTTCCCATGTATAAACTCTTCCACCATATATTTCGCAACAAAACTCATTGTTGTATAATAGTAAGTCCAGGCATTCTTGATTTATCAATGACATTCTTGTCCTACAATTTGGTCATTAAATGAATTGGGTACTAAATGAGGAAGTGTATATAGTACGTTCACAGCTTCACTTAGCTTCAGGTTGCACCTTTGGTCCAGTTTTGCTCTACATCCCTCTATCCTTGGACTAGCAATATAGCTGAGGAACTATCTAAAAATTGTTGTCTCCTTTGACTGATCTTGCTATTCTCTCTGCCTAGAATTATCTCCATATTGTTTCTGCTCACTTCTTCAATTTTTATTTTGAATATCTTCTTACTGAAATCTTCATACTGAATATCTTCATACTGAAGTGTTCAAAGACAAATCTAAGGAATATCTAAATACTTCTGAATTTAGCAATTACTAACCTATTACATTCATTTGTCTTATTTCTGTGTATATGTACACTTTTAAACAAATCACTTCAAAGTAAAATACAGTTGTTGCTCTCTAATATTTTAGCATTTGGCTATTGAGAATAAAACATTTTCCTACATCACTGCAATATCATTATTTCTCTTAAGGAAATTAATCCTATAATAGCTAGGCATATTTAAGTTTTCTCAATTATAGTACTTCTGTAAAAACTAGAGAAGAGTCAAATGTATTTGTTGAATCTTGGTATTCTTTTCCAGCTTGAGAACATAGTATGTCTATTTAGGTTTCTGATTTTATCTTGTGTTGTCTTACAGTTTTCAGGAGTCTTGCTTCTGAATCTTTTGTGTATCTTGTATAGAAGTGCCATTTTGGGTAATTTAATAGATACCCCAAAGTCTTTTGCTGTTTTGGAGGTACCAGGAATCAAACTTAGGACTCACGTTTGTCAGGCAGGTGCTGCACCACTGAGGTAACCTTGGCCCCAAGTCTTTTGTTTTTAATTCTACTGTGGATAGAAAGCATAGTTTGGATTTCTTGTGGGTTTTTAATTGTTGTTTTATTTTGTCCTCCCCTCCCCCTGAATATCACTGTGTGTACTTCTGTTTTAAGAATTAACCAAGTAAGTGAGGAGAATTTTTTAGCTTCACTGTCTGGATTGTTTTCTGTGATTTTTTTTTTTTTTTCTTCTTTGCTGTCTGGTCAACGTGGCAAGCCCAGTCTTCTTAAGATCCTCTGGTAAGGGCTCGGGATTTAGCTCAGCAGCATAAGCACTTGCCATGTAAGCATGAGATCATGAGTTTAATCCCCAGTCCCCCCCCCCCAAAAAAAATTATTCTGGTAAGGCCACTGCTTTCTGCTGGTTTGGGAGTAAAATGTGCTTCTTGCTACTGCTTCTTCTCATCTCCTTCTTTTTCCCTCTCCCTCTCCCCCCCACCCCCCGGCCCATCTCTGTCTCTCTGCCTGTTTTTGCCTACTTTGGGTTAATTTGTAGTGTTTTTAAATAGTTGCTTTATACATTGCTTTAAAGGTTGTTATTTTTACTAGGTGTGATGGCACACACTTACGATCCCAGTGCTGGAGAGGCTGAGACAGGAGGATCACAATGAATTCTAGGCCAGCCTGTGCTAAATAGTGAGTTCTAGGCCAGCCAGAACCTGTCTCGAAATTAAAGTTTGTAATTGTTGTCAGGAGAATTACTCTAATACACGATATCCTACCACATTTAGCACCAGAATTCTTTATCTCTTTTAATTTAAAGTAATTATTCTCTCTCTCTTTTTTTGGGGGGGGGGGTAAATCTCCATTACCTTGACTTTTTGAATAGTCTTGCCCAGTGTTGCAAATCCTATAATCTGGATTCCTCTAATTTTTTACTTTTGGTAATATTTAACTTGTTTGTATTTCCTATAAACAGAATTTAGAGTATAAGAATTGATTAGATTCAGGTTAAATCTTTTCTGTTGTTCATGGGTGATGTGTATACTTTCTCTTATATCTGCAGGAATTTACTTCATTTCCCAGTATCATAATGATTAATTGTTGGTTAAGGTGGTTTATTTTTCCTTTTGTAATTAATAATACCTGGGGTGATAATTGATGCACTGTTGATTTTTACATCTTATTCAGACCCCAGCTTTTAAAGTTTACTATTATCAGATGTCAGATAAATAGTAACACTTAAGCCAGATGTGGTGGCACAGAACTGTAACTCCAGCACTCAGAAAGCTGAGCCAGGAGGATTGCTGTGAGTTCAAGGCCAGCTTTGCTTCATAGTGAGTACAAGATCAGCTTGAAGTACATAGTGAGACCCTGTCTTGGGAAAAAAATAACACTTAATGTTGGGTATTATTATTGTTACTTAGATCACATTCTCAATTTGAAGTCCTTACAATTTCCAGTTTATAGTGTTTATACATTAAAATATGTTATTGTGATTATAAAAACATTTGTGTCTTTTCTACTAGATTGTGAGTTTTGAATGCAGATATCACATCTTATAAATCTTGTGTCTCTTATACTTAATTAGGATTTTGCATATAGCGGGCACTCAGTAATTATTTTCTACTTAACTATTTTTCTATCTTAGGTATAGTCACTGGTTAAATGTGTTAATTTTTTTTTTTTTTTTAGGTAAATGAGAAAGCAGGACAAATTATACAATATGATAAATTTTATATACATGAAGTTCAAGAATTGACAGATATAAGGAATGATTATATCACCTGGGTCCAACAGCAGGCCTATGGAATGGTATGTTTCCTGTTCCTTTTATAGTTTAACCTTTGTGTGTCATTTGTTCAAGTTTTTAAGAAAGTAGTGTCTTTGAAACACCAAGTTTTTTTTCTGAGTTTTTATTCAGAACTTAATTTTAGATAAAAACACATTGTAAAGGAGTAGCTGTATTTATAATCAAACATTTTATTACACATTTTAAAGAAGAATACAAAATTGATACTGAGTTTCAACTCTTAGTTATTTTTCATGAAGTTACTCCTTACTTCTCTAATTTTGAAAATTCTGGTCTCCCTGATAATAGACCTGTAAGGAATGTGTTGTTGTTGTGGGGTCAGTAGGGACTAAAAAAACAAAAGAATTTTTGAGCAGTAGTTTTGTTAGTATATATTGTATTCTCCAGAAGTCAGGGTACTTCTAGAGCATCTCTTCCTTTCCTAAGAATATACTGGTGTCTGGACTAGGAGAGAGACTCATTGAGTTTTCTTCAGAATTACTGGAAAGCTAGATTGAGGCTTACAGTCTTTCTACAAATTAGATATACTCATTTGCTTGTTCAGGAAATACTTCCACTGATTTGAGTATCAGAAATGCAGTAAGTAACTGTACAAGTTCTATTCTCATAGAACTTACATGTAGCGGACAAGATTGACATGAATTAAAGTGAAAATTGCCTGAATAATAGATACAGAATGAAAATCAGGAATGTTAGAGAGACTGGTTTTTGAGGTTGGGTAATCAGAAGATACTTGTCCGAGCCAGGCCTGGTGGCACATCATGCCTCCTTACATCTCAGCATGTCTAGGTTTGAATTCCACCTAATCAGTTATTCAGCTCTATGTACTTGGGGATAGTAATTTGCCTGTAATTCTGTTTTCTGTAAGTCAGGGTAATTGTTTGTATGTTATATAATTGTTGAGATCAGTTGATAAAGTCCATTTGGATTACTTAAAGTAGTTCCTGGCATATAGTTCTCACTGGTAATAATTATTACTGGTATATTATCATTGGCAGAGATGTGAACTCCACAGTGGTCTCTGTTTTGATGTCTAATAACTCTCTGATTGCCTTTCTCTGTCTGCACTATGATCAGACATTTGCCTTTAGAAAGACATGTGACATTCATGATTGACCTTTCCTCATTGAGCACCTCATTTAAGGATGTAATCTCACACAGTTAAAGAGACTCTGTTCGATGACAGTTTGGTATTATACATTTGTATACATTTGCAGGCCTTGGAGTTGTATGGTAGTACTGCAATTATAAATGGATTACCCCAGTCTTAGATTTTTGAAGGTTAATTGTTTGTTATTGATATGAAAACACTAAATTTAAAGTGATTCCAAAGCACTCATAGACCCCCCTAAGAATATAACCTCTGGTGATCTGCAAGCCTATTTTGAAAAACATTGCCTTGGAAATGTTTTTCTATTGCCTGGAAACTACCCAGATGACTGAATTATGACAGTGGTCTTTTGATTAGAACTTACGTTGACTACGTAAGTTATAAACGTGTATTCTGACAAAGTTAAGAGACATTCTGTCTAATAGGATATCTTTTTAATTAGCAAAATTTTGTGCCATGTGGAAAAGTCATGGTTTGAATTTTTGCCTTTAAATATGGTAGTTGTGCCATCTAAATTCATTTTAGTACATAGCTATGCTAATACCAAGTTGATTTTCTTGAAGGAAGTATTTTTAGTATTACGATTTTTTAATTAGCATGAGATAGTTGAGGACTCTCTGATTTCTGTTATTTTCCTCTTTGCCTCTAATTCTCTCTTATTTATTATATAGTTACTTCAGAATTGTCCTCTGTTATGTGTTCTTTAAACCACATCCTTTTTTCCCCTCCATTTTAGTCAGACATGTTAATGAATAGGTGGTTGTGGTTCCTGTTCCTTATAAATTGTGTTTAATGTCACATTTTAGAAATCAAAATCTAAGGTATGGTGTCACACACCTGTAATTCCAGCACTCAGGAGGCTGAGGCAGGGGTCCGAGGCCGCCTGAACTACAAAGCAAGGTGCTGTCTCAAAAAGAAAGAAAGAAAAAGAAATTAGAATCTAATCTACCTCTGGGAGTAGAAAGCTGACAGCCTATTTTGAAGATTTTTGTGCAGCTCTCAGTTAAAATGTTTTACTTCACAGAACTTTTTTTTGAGATAGTTCAATACTTCCACATTTACACAGAACTCTGATGAAAGATGTTTTTCCTGAGTCCCCCTCGCCCGACTTTAAAATGATATTGATATTTGTGTGAGTAGTCTTTTTTGTGGGTTTTTTGTTTTTTTTTTTTTTTTTTGAGACAGGGTGTCACTATGATCACTCACAGTGATCATCCTGCCTCAGCTTCCCAGGTGCTGGCACTGCAGGCATGCTCCACCACACCCCGCTATGGGTTAGTATTTTAATTCTGGGTTGAACTCCATGTTGAGCCTGTGAATGAAGTTTTAAAGACTCTGCTATTAGGAAACTCATGTAGTATTTTATGGTGACACAGATATGTGTAAGTATATTCAAGTGCATGTGTATGTATTTACTTGTTTACATATGTATACTATTATTGATCAAGTTATTTTGAAAATTTTACTGCTTCACTATGAAAGTTTAGAACTTGGTTGATAGAATGTAATTACTGTGAATTATAAGAAACGTTTCATATAATAGTTATTTTACTATCTATGTATCTCACAACATATTGTATACAATATATAAAATTTATTTTTAAAAGTCTCATGTACACATATAAAAAGTTTTACCTTGTGCTAAATATAATAAGAAAATATTTTGTCTTTATGGCATAAAATATTTGGCACTTTTTTTCTCCATTACTTTTTCAGTCAGTGGTTTTAAAGTTTCTATCAGAGCGATTTCCTACTGTTTATTTTTTTCGGTAAATCTGTATAACTTTTACCCTTTCTCTGCTTTTTTTTTTCCTCCTTAAATAAAATTTTAAAAATAAATAAATAAATAAACTTTCCATCATAAATACACTTATTATTCCTAAACCTTAATGACTAATTCTGTGAATTAGTGTTGGCTTTTCTTACACAGGTTGTGCATCCCTAATTTGGAAATTCAAAATTTAAAATCCTCACAAACTCAAAACCATCATGGCACTCAAAAAGTTTTGGTACTGTTCTCCTTTAACTTTGCTCTGAAATTGTTTGTATACAAATAACAGTTATTCCCAAACTCTGCTATTTTTCTTTGCTTTTTATACTTTTTGGTACTATGCATGCATAGCATCAATATATGTGTAGTAAAAATAATTTGGAATAAGTCTAGAAAAGTCAGCATAAGGCCGGGCTCATGCCTGTAATCCCAGCATTTGGGAGGCTGAGGCAGGAGGATTGTTGTGAGTTCAAGACCAGCCTAGGCTACAAAGTGAGCTCATGGTCAGTCTGAACTGCACAGCAAGTTTGTCTCAAAAGAAAAAAAAAAGAAAGAAAGAAAGAAAGGTCAACATAGTGTCTGTCATATTTGAATATAGTGAAATTCAATGGTTTTTTAAAAATTGGATGTGGTTTTTTTTTGGCCTTTTTTGTTTTTATCGGTACCAGGGATCGAACACATGACTTGCCTACGCAGGCGCTTATGCCGCTGAGCTAAATCCCCAGCCCCTGGATGTGTTTTTTTAAGAACTGATATACCTACTTTATTAGACATATGTAAGATACAAATGAGTACTAGTTCAAATAGTGTAAGTCTTATTCAGTATTGTGTATGTGCCTAAATCATTACTGTGTGTCCTGTGAATTAAGCTGTGTTGTGTCGTCTGGAGACAGCTGCTGAGCTACACTCACTAGTGCACTGGAACTGCTGCCTGATGTGTCGATGGGCAGACTAGGATTGGGAAGTTACATCAGTGCTGATGCCACTGGGTTGCGTTTCTTCCTCACTCATTTAAAAAAATAAGCTTATTGACTGAAATACAGTTGTACTGCCTTGCGGCTCTAGTATATCTCAAAAAGGTTCATCCTTTTTAAAGAAAGCTGTGTCATTTTTAATGGCATTAGTATTTTGTAGGAATCTGTCTTTAGGTTCTTGGACTGATTATGTCATTTTGTTTTCTTATGCCTTTTATTACCAAATTATATTCATGTATTTTTCATTTCCATTTTATCTGCAAAGCTGGGCATGGTGGTACATGGCTGTAATCCCAGCACTCGGGAGGCTGAGGTAGGAGGATCATTGTAAGTTCAAGATCAGCCTGAGCTACAAAGTGAGCTCAAGGCCAGCCTGAACTACATAGCAAGACCCTATCTCAAAAAAATCAAAAGAAAAAAAAAATGAGCCGTAAAACTACCTTTTTTATTTAATTGAATTAGTTAAACAACTTCCATATCCCTTCTTTATACCTACTCAGAGTAATCTTGTTATACTCTTAAATCAGTATGGTAGTGGGCCCAAAATTTAGCTCAGTGGCACAGGTGCCTGCCTGCCTGGCAAGCACAAAGTCATGAGTTCAATTCCCGATACAAAAAAAAGGTAGCAGCAATGGTTTAATATTTTGCCATAATAAGTTGAAGCTAAAACATAAAAAGGTACTACATCTGTTTTGTCTTTAAAAACTGGAGTCATTGACTATTGCTGTTAAAATACCATTAATGAATCCACATACCAGTCCGGTTATTTAGAAATGACAGTTTTATCAAAGTTGTGCAAAACAAGGTTGAAGTAACACCTCCCCAGACAATGTTGGGAAGAGTCAGTGGTAAAAAGGGAGCTGCCCTGAGTGGCACTGGGGTACTCTGTTAGGTGGTTAGTGGAGCCTAATTAAATTAGACCGAAATTCTGATTTTGAACATCCCCTCCAGGCCTTTGTCACCTCGGCTTCTCCAGCCCTGAATAATGGAGATGTAGGCGTGCTTTCCTGCAGTCTTGAGTCCATGACTCAGAAATCGATGCCAGTGATTTGTGCCTGTGCATGTGTGTGCGCGTATGTGTCCGTACATAACTCACACTGTGCGGGCTGTGCTGTGTCTGGCTCTAGGCCTTCTACTGACCTCATGTGTTTCGTCATGCTGTTCCCACCCTGCATTCGCCCTGTTTTCCCTTTACATTTCTTTTGGAAATACTACTTGGGTAAATTAAATTTGAGCTACCTTGCAGCTCTAATATTTCCCGGAGTTCATTCCTATTTCCTTTTTATTTTTTCTCTTTTTTTTTTTTTTTTTTTTTTGTTTCCCTCCTTTGCGTTTCTCTTTTTTTCTCTTCCTTGCTCCCTTTCCCTGTCTTCTTTTCTGTCTTCCTTTCTTTATCTGCGTCTTTTTCATCTTTTTTTCCCTTGTTCTCTGTCCTTTCCTTCAGACAGGTTCTTGCTTGGTAGCCCAGAATGGCCTTGAACTTGCAGCGCTCCTGCCTCAGCCTCTTGAGTGCTGGGATTGCATGTGAATTATGAGAGCAGAGGTGGCTCACACTGGTTCACACCTCATTTTTTAAGCACACTTCAAAAAATTTTTAAGCCTTTCTCTGTAATCCTTAATCTTCAAAATCGAAATTGCTAGTAATGATCTTAATTGGTGCCTTTCTAATAAATGAATAATGTTACTAGATATCTAATGGTCTCTCTTCTCATATGTCCCATTAGAACAATAACTCATCCATATTAGTGTTTCATTATGTGTAAATCCATCTCCCATAATTTAAACTCTTTTACTCTAGTAGGCCATAGCTGAATATTGATAGATATATTTTTACTTCTCATATTTTCTCATAGGAATAGCACTTTTTAAATGTTCTACAAGACTGATGCTGATAATGCAAGCGGCTATGCATACATAAGTGGGCATAGAGGCTACAGGAGGAATTTCTGTATCTTTTCAGTTTTACTGTAAACTTAAAAATATTCTGAGTTTGTTTGAAAAGTCCCATGAGATATACTATGAAAGGATTTTAAGTGTTCCTTTTAAATTTCCTTCCAATTAAGTTAGTGTAATCTAAAAAGCTGTTTATGTATTTCTTTAACACTAGAGTTTGAACTCAGGGCCTTTACACTGAGCTAGCATTCCTAAGACCTTTTTATTTTATTTTTGAGGCAGGTCTCATTAAATTGCCTGGCCTGGCCTCAAATTTGAGATCCTCCTGCCTCAGCTTGCCAAGTAACTGAAATTATAGGTGTTATCCACTGCAGCTGCTCTAAAAGTCTTCTAAGTGTTCACTTGTTTAGTATTAACTTGGTGTGTAGGATTTTTTGAAACTTTCATACTCCCCCTTCCTATACCCCATACTGGGCACTAAATGCAGGCATATTTGGCAGGTGTGTTCTACAGTTGAGCTGTGTCCCCAGTCCTAAATGAAGCAGTTAACAATTTTTCTCCGTAGAATTTCCAGTCATGTTTTGCTTGTGCTTCTGCTCCTTTCAGTTTCCAAGGGCAATGCCCTCTCTGGATAAGGTTAATTCACTATGCAAAGTATTAGCCGCAGATTTAGTAACATGTTTTTGAATTCTAGTGCTTTATTTTACATGAATATAAGCCCAGAGTATACATGGAAATATTCTGGAAGAAAGTGTATGTTCCTGGGCTTAGTGGTGCATGCCTATAATCCCAGCATTTTGACAAGCTGAGATAGCAGGATCTCAAATTCCAGCCTGGCCTGGGCAGTTTAACAGGTAATGTAACTCAGTGCAAAGGTACAGGCAGGGTTCAGTCCCCAGAGAGGGTAGGATGTCATGTACTAGACAATGCAGACACAGAACATACGTGTCATCACAAAATGTTCTTTTTAGCTGTGCATGGTGGTACACACCTATAATTACAGCACTCAGGAAGCTGAGGCAGGAGGATCACTATCAGATGAAGCCCAACATGAACTGTAGAACAAAACCCTATCTCAAAAAGCCAAAACCAAAAAAAAAAAAAAAAACAAAAAAAAAACCAAACTACAAAACTTACAGGTTTTTATTATAGTTTCCATTTTCCTTCATAAGTATACCTTTTCTATTTACCAATCTCTGTGTCCTTTTTATCCTTTAAAACCGTGTAATATTAAGTTGTCGTGTATTACTGGTTATTTCTGTCCAATAAAAACAATTTATGGCTTATTTACCCTCATTTTGTTTCTGTGTAGCATTTAAAAATACTAAACACTTTGACTTTGTCAGAGTTAACGTAAATCTTACAGACTGAGATACTTTCTGCATTTTGGGTAAAGACACTGAGCCATACAATTTTTTCAAGATCATGTCAGGTTTAGGATTAATTTTCCTATTCTACCTAAATGACAAGATCCTGAAATGTTTTTTGTCCTAGTCTTAATTTTATGACTACAATTTTATTATTTAGACTTAATTTATTATTTAGACTTAATTTTATGACTACGTTTTTTGTTCCTGAAATGTTTTATGTCCTAGTCTTAATTTTATGACTACAAGGTACCTGAAACAAAGTGTTACATTTATAGACATATACGATGCATGTGGGAAGGGTAGATTTTGTTGTATAGATGTATTTTCTACCTCTTTTAATTCAGTATTCATCCATAGCAAAATATACTTTAATAGATGTAGTGAAATTTGGACACTAACATTGCTCTTTCCTCATTGTTGCACTCTGCACTGCTGTTTTAGGATGTCAGCCATGGATTGACTGAGGTAAGTTTGGTGTGGGAAAGTTTCGTATTCAGAGTAAGATCATTGTTTTTTCCTGTGTGATGAAAGTCAAAGATTTCTCTTATGTGTGATTTTTTTAAAAGCGAGATTGAGAAAGAGAGCATGAGCATGCTTGTGTGCATGCATGCACATGTATGTTTGGGTGCATAGAAATTACCCCGTGTAACAATTCAGAAAAATATTTAAGGACACTTAAAACTGTTTTAGTTAATATTATACTTATATGATGCCTTTCAAGATTTACTTTAAAATAGTTTCTGTTCTTGTCGAGTTTAAAATGTAATGTGACCTAATACCAAAAAGCAAACTTTATTTGACAAATGCTTATGTAAGAACTATATTAGATAAGCAAATAATCTTTATTTTTAAAAGTGTTAACAATATTAAACTTTCAATGTGATCATCTTTCTTACTTTGTCTCGTGTACTGTCTTGAAGTTCTAGCACTGTGATATAAGTAGTCAGTAACCCTAAACCACCCTTTTAAAAACAATTGAGAATGTAATATTCGTTTACCTGTTTAGACGTTAGATTTTGTTTTGTTTTACTTTGCTTTTTTGTTATTTCTCCCAAAACTAGAACCAATGAAATATTTTGAAATAGTTTTAAATTAAGTCATAGGGCTGTCTTGTATAGCTCAGTGGTAGAATGCTTGTCTGACATGCTTGTGGCCATAGGTTTGATGTTCAGCATCCAGAAGAAAAGAAAATGAGTTTTGATATCAAAGGGAACTTTAGAACTGTGTAAATCTTCTTGAGTTTCGAAGAAGTAAAAGGACTTTGTATGACCAGTAGCTGGTAACACATGAGCAGTACTGATTAGTGTGCAGTACCTATAATTAAACATGTTGTCTTGCATATTAACAACAGAGTTGATAGTTCAGCATTTTCAGATTATTTTTGGTGGTTTCAATTAAAAACCACTTGAAGTAGTTCAAAACAAGGCAGTTAAAATGGAAAAGAGCTGAAAACCATACCGTTTTCAGAATATTAGTGAATTTGGGAATATTTACAACAGAAATAAAAGACAATTTAGGGAAACTATTATCTGAATTTAATATTTAAACCACATATGCTTCAGTGTAGGGCAGAACAAAGGCATGGCGATTCACAGTGAAGCGTAGAAATGCAGACATTATAAAGGACTTCGTAATCACTTAAAAAAGAAGCTGTGATTTTTTCCCCATAGGAATTCTGCATTGCAGTAGCTCTCTCTTCCATACAAAAATACTGAGTTTTGAGATTTTTAGGGTTAGGGCTAGTTGTGTAAGTGGTAGGAATAGATTCACTAACTGCAAGAAAGTATAACTGCTTATTTATAGTGCTTATTTTGAATATTAAGTGCAATAGATTCTTGAGTCCCTAATTTTGGCACCCTAGTGGCACTCAAATATCTGTTAATGAAGGAATAGACACACTACCAATGGGCTAGCTACCTAGCGTATAAATAACTAAATACTCTGTGTAACATAAGAACTCCAAGTTGTAGAACGAAACTTGAGAGTTAATATGTGCCAAGCAAAAAACAAAAATTGTGTATCATTTTATAGACTTTCAAGTATATGATTCCCTCTTAAAATTGGAAATTAGGTTTATTCCAATGCATCTAATTACCAATAAGAATTCTATATTCAGAAATAAGCAACATTATAATTCCTGAACCGTCATGTGAAGAAGCCAAGAATGTGATCGTCTTTACAAGAAATGACAAAGCACTCATAATAAATATATTATAAATCAACTTTTACTAATAAATTAATTCTCTATTCCCAGTTGGCAGATATCCCCGTTACAATCTGTACATATCCATTTGTATTTGATGCCCAAGCAAAAACTACTTTGTTACAAACGGATGCAGTTTTACAGATGCAGGTAAAATAATGAGTAATACTAACCTGATTGGAGAATGTTTTTAAAATTGTTCTTGTAAAGTTTTAAAAAATAAGTATTTGAACATTGCCTATATTTGTTATTCTGGGGAACATTACAACATTGTAGGCTGTCATTTATGAAAGTATTGTGAGCAGCTGTTAAGACTTGTACATGTAGGGACATATATATACTTAAAATACTTAAGAGGGCTGCTTGTAAAAAAGGTTATAAAAATAAAATAATCAAACCTTTAACCATTTTATATCTTTAAATGATATAAGCTTCTTTACCTGTATAAATAGGTAATCTTTATAAACAGTTTTGCTACTTTACTTGATAAAATATTAGATCGTTTTAAAATCTTGCTTCATTCTGTTCCCCTGTTTACTTGGTAAAGGGTGAAAGTTTCTAGAGGTGAGGTGGTATTAAACTATGAAGCATTTGATCACATGTTAATGGATGTGAAGTTTCTTTAAAGTTTCAGTAGTAACATTTTTCTCAAGGTAGTTTTCTTAAGTGTTCTTCTTTCATCCCCTTCCTTTCTCCTTACTTTCCTCTTTTTTTTATGTTAAACATTTTTTTCATTCATAGTAAAGTTTAAAATTTTTTTTATTCACATTATTATGACTTTGAAGGATTAAAGGAGGTTATCATGAGAGGTATTGCACTGCCCTTTTCAAGTATAGACTATCTATACAGGTGATATTCTGTGGATAAGATGGAAAGAGATTTTGAACATTTAATGTCCTAAAAACACTTTGAAAATTTTAAAGCCCCCAGACTTTGGTTCCTTTTTTTCATCAGTTCAGATAAATTTATTTGGTGTTTGAGATTCTTCCAAGTTCCTTGGGTTTTTTTTTTTTTTTTTTTTTTTTTTTTTAGGGAATACAACGACGATAAAATGGAACAAAACAAAACAGTGGGAACAATATTGAATTTCAAAAGCAAGACAGAAGGAAGTGCCCCATAGTTGCTATGTTGCATATTATTGTCCTCTAAACAAATGCTCAGACTGCCAGCCCCAGGCCTGCAAAGTCAGTCAGTCAGTGCAAGCATTAAGTTGTTTTTGTACCTCAGTTGTTATCATCCCAACCTTGTTTTCCTCCAAATCAGCTGGTTGCCCACAGAGCAGGGGATGGGATGGGGGGTTTCTTGTCTCCCAGCCCATATGCTGGCTGGCTCGCGGGAAGAGTGGACTGACTTCTTGGTTCGCTTTCTGGCCCACGAACATGGCTGCTGCTGACTCACGGGATAAGCAGGCTCATTTCCTACTTTGGTTCTTTTGAGATAGGGTCTTGCTGTGTAGTTCAGGCTGTCCTTGATCTCAGCAGTCCTCCTGTCTTAGCTTCTTGAGTGCTAGGATTACAGGCATGCACCACCATGCCTGATCCCTTCTAAATATCTTAACTCTGGAGAGAATTTTTGGGTGTTTATTTGCATTTCCATCAGAAGAAATAAATATTTTTGTGAGGTTCTGTTTTAGTCAAAATGATGTGTGATTTTTGTTTTTAATATGGTATATTTTATTTTAGAACAAAACACAATAAAGGCTTTGGAGGGAAAGTATACTTTAAATGGTAAAAGAACATACACTGATCACTCTATTAATGAATCTTTGTAATAAACTTCTCAGCTAGACTGTTGCTTGTTCTCTTCAAAGGTGTATTTTATGCTGTTCTCTTTTTCTTGTTCTCCATCCCTGTGCATCACTTTTTTTTTTTTTAGGAAAAAGATAGTACTGAGATTTACCATGATTAGAATTGTTTCCTTACCTTAATGTTATGAGTTATACATTAATACAAAAAACTTGAAAGGTATTCTTTATACTCTGTTTATTAAGTTCTTATGCTGCACTAGATAAAATACTATGTTTAGTCAGGTGTGGTGGCACATGCCTGTATTCCCAGCACTTCAGAGACTTGAGGCAGGAGGATTGCTGTGGGTTCAGGGTCAACCTGAGCTACATAGCAAGACTTTGTCTCAAAAACTTGGGGGAAAAAAACATAAAATATTGTGCAAATGCCATCTAAATTTGGTAGTACAGAAATGATCTCTGAAATTATAGCATACTTAAAACTGATGGGACTTTGTAACATTACTAATCTTCTGTTTTCTAGGTGGCTATTGACCAGGCCCACAGACAGAATGTCTCCTCTCTTTTTCTCCCAGTGATTGAATCTGTGAATCCCTGCTTAATTTTAGTGGTGCGTAGAGAAAATATTGTAGGTGATGCAATGGAAGTCCTCAGGAAAACAAAGAACATAGATTACAAAAAACCACTCAAGGTAATTTGACATTTTATTTTACATAATTGGGCCCTTTATGTAGAAACTTAAGAAAGTTTTATTTCTTTACTTACTTTAGTTCTTAGATATCAAAGATACATTAGAAAGAAACGAGTTTCAAAGAAACTTTCTAATGTATCTTTGATACCTAAATTATATAATTTTTTCTTTTTGGGTTTTTTTTTTTTTGTATTTTTCGTTTTTATCGGTACCAGGGATCGAACTCACGACTGCCTGCTTGCAAGGCAGGCGCTTATGCCGCTGAGCTAAATCCCCAGCCAAATTATGTAAGTTTTAAACTATAAATTGCTGGGCATTTATTAGTAGTAACCAGCATAAAATGGGGCCTCTGGAGTGTACTTCTATTTTTTATACAGTCTATTCAGTGTTTGCATTATGCTAATCTAGGTTATATTTGTTGGAGAAGATGCTGTTGATGCAGGAGGAGTTCGCAAAGAATTTTTCTTGCTCATCATGAGGGAATTACTGGATCCTAAATATGGCATGTTTCGATACTATGAAGATTCCAGGCTTATTTGGTTTTCTGATAAGGTATAATGTCCACCTGTCTAACTTTGTATAAAGTTTTGTGTATACGAGTTAACTCTGAAAGGTTTTATTAAGAAGAATTGCTGGAATTTTTAAAAATGCTTTTTATTCAAAGATCTGCTTTATTGTAATTTGAAAAGTAATAAACTTTGGACTTGGAGTTGTCCAGAACACACTGATGCTTTACCACACATTTTAGATTAACAAAATAAAGGATAGTTAATGTGAAAATAACATTGACTTTTCCTTCTGCTTATTTCAGTTTGGGAATTGAATAATTGCTAGGTTAACTTTTCTTCTGTGAAAAATTAAATTATCATTAGAGATAATTAAATTATCATTGATGCCTTATTATTTAGGTAAGAAGTTGGCATAGTCTGTAAGCCAGAATCTTCCCCACAGAAATGTGTTTCTGTTATGTGTATGGTCTGTTTATATCCAAAACAAAAAGTTTGGATAGAAAGGCACATTCTTGAACTGCCACTGGCATTATAACCTAGAACAAGTTAAGCACTGTGCTTATCTACCTTTCAGCTTAGGAATAAGAAACAGAGATTTTTCTGTGGAAGTATTCAAACTGTGAACTAAAATATGTAAAAACATTGCATGTGGTGTGCTTCCTGTCGCCCCAGCTAGTTGGGAGAGTGGGGTGAAAGCATCCGTTCAACCCACAGGTTTGACACTGGTCTCGGCGGTATAGCAAGACCTCTTTTCAGTAACAAATAAAGTTGCTCCCCACTTCTTTTGGTGCTTGAAATTGAACTCAGAGCTTCACACACACTAAGCATAAGCTTTAGCCCAAGATATGCACTTTCCTCTGAATATTACTAATTGGAATGATTTTATTGAGCCTTTACTGTGTGCTTCAGAAATAGCACCTAAAGCATTTTGTGTACTTTATTTCATTTAATTCTCACAAAAAATTGTATGTGAAAATACTATGGTTATCTTCTTTTGGAAACAGGCTTAGTAGTGACTGAATTTGGTCTGGAGTCCGGTTCTAATTTAAAAACTTACATTCTGAATTGTTACTTTCTGCACTGTAAACAGACCATACACATAACAGAAACACATTTCTGTGGGAAGATTCTGGCTTACAGACTATGCCAACTTCTTACCTAAATAATAAAGCATCAATGATAATTTAATATCTCTAATGATAATTTAATTTTTCACAGAAGAAAATGCTCATAGCATTTTTTTTTAATTGAATATGTATTGTCCTATAAAGGTGAGGGAGAATATTTTGTAATGTTTTTATTTGTCCAACTAAAGTAAAATAGCTAACTTAACAAACTTTCACATAATGTAATGTTCAGCCATTTAAAAAAAGAACATTTAATGACAAGAAAAATGAGATAGAACTTGAAATATAGCATTTTATTTCTAAACTTACAACAGATGTAAATACATGAAAATTTGTTTTCATGTTACTAATATGTGTTAATTTACATATTAATGGAGTCAGTGTGATAATCATTGACCGCTACCCCTACCATCTTGTACAAACACATCTATTTTCTTTTTTTTTTTCTTTTTTATCGGTACCGGGGATTGAGCTCATGACCACCTGCTTGCAAGGCAGGTACTTATGCCACTGAGCTAAATCCCCAGCCCCAAACACATCTATTTTCAAGTCAGCTTTTTTCTAGCTGTGGTTATTAGTTCCGGGTATCTTCGTTTTCTTTTTCATGTTTTTTCTTTATTTTCCAGTTTTTGAAACTATTGTTTTTTTAAAAATCAGAAAAATGTTTATAGTAATCTTTTCACCTTTAAGGTTATTTTGTGTTTTGTACTGCTGGGATTTGTATTACCTATGCTAGGCAAGTTTGTTTGTCCCCAGCCCTAATGTAGTATTTAGTGACATGAAAATGCTTATATTCTTGGTAAAGGAATGTGTGTGTAATGGAAATATAAAAAATGCTGAGTGATTTACACCAGAGAGGTAGTATAATAAGAATGAACTTTATTACTTTTTCTATACTTTCAGATTTTTCTCCTGTGATTTTAGGTTTGTTATTGCTTGTTTGTTTTAGTAGAGGTTTTTGTAATTAGAAAAAAGTTAATATTTTAACTTGCAAGACAGGTCTAACTTATTTTCTCTTACATTTTTCAGACATTTGAAGATAGCGATTTGTTCCACTTGATTGGTGTTATTTGTGGATTAGCAATTTATAATTTTACTATTGTGGACCTGCATTTTCCTTTGGCTTTATATAAGAAACTGCTGAAAAAGAAACCATCCCTGGATGATTTGAAAGAATTAATGCCTGATGTTGGGAGGTCAGTTATAAAAAGTGTTGAGGGTAGAGTTTAAGAGGCCACAAGTGGGGGATGTACAGAACGCTTTCCTTCTGGGAATAAGTATGTCCCGTTACTTCTATTAAATTTCTGAAATAACCAAAAGCCCTTACAAGATCAAAATTTTCTCTTGAAAGAGTAAGTTATTTTAATGGCACTCCAAATTCTCAACTTTTAATGGTTTAAGAGGTAGGTTTTCTCAGAGTGCTTAAATGACATATTTGGACTTCTGATTATATTCCTTCCATGTTTAAATATGTAAAAAGGTTTTTTATTATATAAAGTGGAATAAAAGTTATAAGAACAAATGTTAGAAATGAGTTGATACATGGCCTTTTTATTTAGAAGACAGAAAAACTTCTTTTTACCCCTTCCAAAGTTGTTTCTCCATTTTCCATTGTACAACGTATTCTGAAGTAGATATAAAATTATAAATTAATGGAAGAATTTATATATATATTTATTCATAAGAAAAAAGTAAAAATACCCAATAAATTTTACCTTCAAGAAAGATGTATGTTATTTTGCAGAAGCATGCAACAATTACTGGATTATCCAGAAGATGATATAGAGGAAACATTTTGTCTAAATTTTACGGTAAGATACAAAGACATAGGTTAGCTGATTATTCATTATCCCTTTTATTAAACTATGCTTTATGTTTTCTTTATTTTGGTAGATAGAATTCTGAACCCTTTAGCTAACGTTTATTGAGCATTTACTATGTGCTAGTTCCAATACATGCATTATTCACCTTCAGTAGTCCTGTGAGTTTAATACTATTCCTGTTTTACAGGTGAAGAAATTGAAAATAATTACATGTCAGATTCAGCATTCACACACCTGTGACTTCAAAACATATATACTTAATATGCTAAAAAATATTTACACATACAAAGAATTGTTTCTACACGTTCATTTTTAAGCTTGCAATTACAAGAATGTTTACAGAAGTGAAAGATTATTATAACATGGGTATTACTAATGAAATTACTGCTTAAAAGTTATTTCCTACAATATAACACTTTCTACTTCAAACAACTACTCATTCTTGCCTATCTTGTCTTACTGTTGGATAACTTAGAATAATACAAATATATTTCAATTATTATTTAGAAACAAAATTGCAAATTTGTAAAATTCAATTTGCAAATTTGAATATATTTGCAAAAATATATTCAGATATTGAAAGGGATGTTGAATGACTGATCTATTTGCAATGGTTACATGCAAAACCATTGACAGGTGAGGGTCTAGCAGAAATAGACTGTATAGCAATTGAACAAGAGAGTATCCACAAAGGTGATAGAAGCTTTGTGAGGGGACAGTTTGAGTAAGTCAGACTCAGGAAAATAGTAAAGCCTACAGATCATCTTTTTAAAAAAATTTTTTTTATTTTCATATTTGTTTATTTTCCTTCCCTTTGTCTGCTCAATGTTTTGTCAGTACTAACAAAAACTACTGTTGCGTTGTTCCACAACCTCACCACCACCATTGTCCCCTTACAAAAGTTTAACAGTTTTTATTGGCACATGGTGCATAAGAATATTTGATAGGTTTTGGGATAATACAGATTTTCATGATACTCTTTCCAAGAAATAGCTTTGTTGGAATTATTCCTATTTTCTGTGAAATTTTGGTTCGTCTTTTCAGTTGATTCACTTTATGTCCATTTAAAGTGTCTTTTGACTGATTGTCTTGATCAACTAAAAAGTTGAATCCCAAGCAGTTTGTTTGTTTGTTTGGGTTTTTTTTAACTTACTAATCACTAATGACCATCTATATTCAAGAATTTCTTTCTTGTGCTATTTTTTTCTCTGAATTATCTATGATTTTTTGTCACACAATAAAAACTGTAGAATGGACAACAGAGACATTTATAATCTGGCTTTCTTTCTAACTTTCATTGTGTACCTCCATACTAAATTGTATCATATCACGCAGTATTTGTTTATATACTTTACCTTTGTCTTTTTGTAGAGCCACTTGCCATACATTTTCAGGACTTGATGATATTTAGTATCATATTTTATTCTTCTGTTAAATAGCTGTGCTCAGTCTGAAATATTATTTATCTCCTAGTCTTCAGAATTATATCCATATTTCTAGGTGTTTTACAAATGGCATTTCAGTGGCCTTTACAAAAGACCTTCCTCAAGGTCTTTCATATTTTAATTGGAGTGTTCTTTCTCATGTGGTCTTGTAAAATTTTGTTCATGTCCCTGTTTCATACAGCATTACTTTATTATGATGAGTTGTTTACATATCACATCTCTCTTCCTTTAGTAGATAATAACCTTCAGAGTAAGAAGTATTCATCTCTTACCTATCCGACTTCCACAATGGCTTTCTATAGATCCCAGATTTTCACAAAAGAGGAAAATATTCCAAAAAGAAAGTATAGCAAAAGGGTATACTTTCTTATACCCTTTGTATACTGAGAATGGTAATACTTTTTTTTTAAAGACTAGTTGGAGAAATAAAAATGTCAAAATAACTGACCACCTTTATAAATTAATGCATAATTTACAAGACGTGTGATCAGGTACACAAGACAGAGGTACAGGAGCGCAGTGGTTATCATGTTGAAAGAAGCGTAGTTCTAGTTGAACGCATTCTGATAGTTGGATTTACTCATTCATTACGGAAAGCGTCCTCTCTAATACTTCAATTTGTTCTAAAGTTTTATGCACAATAAGTCATTAGTTTATTGTGCCTAATTGAACAAACACTTGGTATTTTTTAGTCAGGCCATCATGGTAGGATACTAAACTACTAGTGAATGATAATTCTTAGTTGTGACTTTAAGCAGAATTCATAAATAAGCTTATAATAGCAGAGTTTTGTCTTATTTATTAGTATATATCTTTAGTAAGAGAAAGGGAAAATAATAGATTTTTAAGATACTCTTAAGTTTTGAGTCTGACGTTGACCTTTTTTAAAAATTTAAATTAATAGATCACAGTTGAAAACTTTGGTGCAACAGAAGTGAAAGAGCTGGTTCTAAATGGTGCAGACACAGCTGTTAACAGACAGAATCGGTAAGTGAATTACAGTAGCCTCAGTGAAAGCAATAAGACTCAGTAGGCATTTTTTTCTGTATCTAGAAACATCACAAATTAAATTTTCACTCACATAAAATTTAGTCTTTGAATTTTTAGTGAAAATTAATCTGCCTGGGGCTGGGGTTTAGCTCAGCGGCATAAGCGCCTGCCTTGTAAGCAGGCAGTCGTGAGTTCGATCCCTGGTACCGATAAAAACGAAAAAGGCAAAAGAAAAAGAAAATTAATCTGCCTTTACTCTTAAAGTCACTTTAAAACATCAGTAAAGTGATGAAAAGTTCATAAAAGAACAAAGAGAAGTGAGAGGAGACTATATCAAGGTCATTTTTTGAAACTAGAAACTTGTGGTAGCTAACTTAAAAGAAAGAAAGCCACATTAAATAATGAAATGGAGAACATACAAAGGATTAGGAATCAGAATAACATCAGACTTTTAAAGAATAGTGTTAGGGGCTGGGGATTTAGCTCAGCAGCATATGTACCTGCCTGGCAAGCATAAGATCGTGAGTTCGATCCCTGATACCAAAAAAAAAAAAAGTAAAGAACAATGTTAGAAAAGAGGAAGGTACACAATATGATGTATAAGAGAGGCAAGGAGTGTTTTTTTTAAAGGAACAGTGTCTGTGTAGAAAATATAGAATGAGCTAACAATCTGGATTAGATGAGGAAGACCTGGAGGGGTCCAAGAGAAAAATACAGCTGATACTACCCTAATGTATATGAGTGAAGAAGAAATGAATGTTTCTGTTGGAGTGTTTGGGGGGAAATGGCAAACAAATAAATAAATAGAAAAAATTTCTTTTTAAGAAAAGAAAGGTAGGGCCAGGGATTTAGCTCAGCAGCATGACATGAGGTGCTGAGTTCAATTCCTGGTACCAGAAAAAAAAAAAATCAGTGCACCTTATGAATGATATTTAAAATCATAAAAATGTTAACAGTGACTATTGAACCAAAAATTGTTATGGGTACAGAAAAATGAGAGTGGAATAATTAAATAAAGGTAAAATCCTTACCTTTCTCTGTGGGTAATTTGGTTCATTAAATATTTAAAACTGAAAATCAAGGAATAAGGAAAGAGCCATATTACTAGAAGCTTGAAAGTAAACTTGCAAAGGAATAGCAGGAGTTCACAAACCATTAACTTCAAATGGAGGAGTTTGTGGCAGGAGAGTGAAGGCTAGAGCGCTGTCTTGTTCCCTACTTTGTTCTAATTTTTCAGACAGACCGAGTTTAGTGATTGCTACCAAGGCCATGATGGAAATGATTGTAACCCTTATTCTGCTATTTAGAAGCTTTGGGTAAATTAAATTAGCTGATGTGTTTTTGCCTCAGTCTCCTTTTCTGAAGAATAGAATGGGAAAGTATACCTACTTCATGGGCTTATTTTGAGGAATAGGTGAGGCAGGAATTTTTAAGATACGTAAAATGAAGACCTAGCACATGGATGTGTTCAGTAAATGTTGGCTATTAGGATTATTACTGTTGTTACAAGTGATATTTTAAACTATGTGTATGTCTTACTTTGACCAAAGTAAAGCTATTGTTACAATAATGTGAGAAAAAATGGGCCTAGCTGTCCTCTTAAAAAAATACTTTGTGAAAACTGACTATAATCCCAGCACTCTGGAGGCTGAGCTGAGAGGATTGCCACAAGTTTGAAGTCAGCCTGGGCTGTTATTGAGTTCAGAGATACCCTGAACTACTTGGCAAGACTCTGTCTCAGACAAAAACTGTGTGTGTGTGTGTGTGTGGTGTGAAAAGTGAGGTAACGTAGGAGGCTGAGGCAGGAAGATGATTGTGAGTTAGAGGGCACCATAGGCTGCATAATGGGTTAAGCCCAGCCTGAGCTACATAGTGAGACTATGTCCAAAATTAAAACTGTGTTTTTGAACAGCTAGCTAGGATTGTAGATTTTTTTTTTTTTTTATTGTGTAAGTGCTGTGGATTGAACTAAAGGCCTCATGCACATTAGGCATGTGCTCTGCCATTGTGCTGTGCTCCAGCCCTTTTGACTTTTTGGGACATGATCTCACTAAATTGCTTAGGTTGGCTCTGAATTTTCCATCCTCCTACCTCAGCCTCCAGACTATCAGGGATTATAGGTATGTGCCACTGTGCCTAGTTTATGATTAGACTTTTTTCTACTTTTAAAAGTTCTGTTGTACTAATTTTTAATTCTTAAAAATACATGTCATATAGACTGTCTAGCTGGGAAGTATTTTTAAAATTTTGACAAAAATAAGTTGGCACAAAAGATGTAGCCTTTTGTATTCAAGGATCTCAACTAGTACAGATGAATTTAACTCTAATTGGATAAATTATAAAATTATATATTTCAAAGTTGAACCTAATAGCACATGCTGTTGGTTTTTTCATAGGCTCACCAATTTTATATTTTACAGTGACCTCCTTACATGTATTCCCCTCTATTTAAATTCAATGTGGAATTTTGGTGTAACTTGATAGAAGGTTGTAAACATACCTGACTTCCATTTAGAGAATCATCATATAATATTTGAAAGACAAGGGCAAAAAATAATGAAATCTCCTAGTAATCATTCCTGTTACCTGTTTGATCAAATTGTTTCATAAAAGTGTTTGTGGCCAGTAATTGAGCAACATTACTGTTCCGATTACTAGGTAATTAACTTTTCTTTTGTAAATGTTAGTCAGAAGAGAGAAGTGTTTGTGTGAATATGTACACATTTGAAAGAAAACTACATGTGTAATCTTTAGTGATTATTCTAAAATAATGTTTAGTGTACCTACTACAGTGTATTTTTTTTTAAATAAATTTTGTTCAGATTTCTTGAATCTGAAGGCAAAGGGTCTACTTTATTGAACAGTTTAAGTCCCAGAGCACTTAGTTTTCTACTATGGTCCAGGGTTTGAGTATTTGAGTGTCCTTTGCCAATGCGTGGGAAGTGGTAACTAGTTTGAGTAACTTGTGAATAAAAACTTCAGTTGCCAGTTGTTTCATTCTCACCAGAATATTCTCAGGAATAGCCTAAGAAGAACTGTGAGTGCCTCAGAGACACATCTGAATTTGTTTTTAAGTGTGGAAAGGAGACTAGATTTCTCCATAATGACTTTGTCCCCTTGGGCCCTACTCACTTTTCTGTTTTGTAGATAAGTAGCAAAAAGTATAGGAGCACTCAGGTTTAGACTGTATTATACATTCTTCATAAGGGGTTTTTAAAACAATGTGTGCATGTGTCCTTTTCTTTTCTAGGCAGGAGTTTGTTGATGCATATGTGGATTATATATTCAATAAATCAGTGGCTTCCTTATTTGACGCTTTTCATGCGGGTTTCCATAAGGTCTGTGGAGGAAAAGTTCTTCTGCTTTTCCAGCCTAATGAACTACAAGCAATGGTTATTGGAAATACAAATTATGATTGGAAGGAATTGGAAAAGGTAGGGAAAAACAAATCTGTAACATTGTTCAAATGGAAGAGAAAAGAAAGAGGGCTGAGGATATAGCTCAGCAGCACAGTGCCTGCCTGGCAAGTACGAGGTCATGAGTGCGATTCTCAGTACGGAAAAAAGAAGGGAAAAGAACATGTTTTAGTAAAGTGGAAGTCTTGCCTTTTTTATGTATTACTTTCCATTTTTATATAATTTATTGCTATCATTTTATAGGAAAATGTGTGCTCCTGACTCCACAGTAGATAGATTTGGACTCTGTAGGAATTAGGATGGTGTGTTTGTATTTGCCAGTATTGGTGGTGTTGATAGAGAAAAACACCATCATCTGTGACACAGTCTGACTAGAAGCATCAGCCCAAACCGCATGAGTTTCCCGTTCTGCCTCAGTCCTAGGAGAACCATTCCGAAAAGCCTTTGCAGTGCTCAAGATCTTCACTCTCTTTATCTTTTAATTAGCTTATAGCAGAAAAACAATGTTCATGGTCTTTATTACTGATGCCACAGCTAATCTTCAGCAGGGAGGTTACAGATTTTTTTAAACTTTTCTTGTCTATCTAAATAATTTGCAAATATTTCTTTTAGTAAACATTTAGTAAAAAGACCAAGATTAAGTTAACCTGTCCATTTTCCAAATGCGCTAGCATCCTACAGTTTTGTGGTTTGACAGTTTTTTGCAAATACATTTGTTGTATGACCTAACAGTACTGTTGTCAAGTATTATCCTCACACAGAAATATGTGAATGAAGACATTTTCATGATTATTTATAGTGTTTTAGTTTTTTTAGATGAAGTAATCCAGATTTAGATGTTGGTAATGGTTGCACACAAGGTAAATGTATTTGATGCCACAGAATCATTTACTTAAAAATCATTAAGATATAAGGCAGTCATGGCATGTGCTTCTATTCCTAGCTACTGGGGAGATAACACAGGAGGATTTCAGATTGAAGCAGTTTAACCTTACTCGAGGAAAAACGCTCAGTGTTCCCTGGGTTCAATCCCTCGTATACACCAAAAAAAAAAGCCAAAACCTGGAAGTGAATCAACAACCCGATACATTCTTTCTATAGAATGCTGTTGAGCATTAAAAGGACTGAACTGCTGATATGTGTCCATCAGAATATGCTTTATGCTGAGCAAAAGAAGCTCCCAGTCCCCAAGGATTCTTACTGGGCAGTTAATGTGACAGGATCCTGGCAGATGTTAGGGAGAGAGGGAGGTGTGACAGTGGAGAGAGAACTTGAGTGTCTGAATAGTGTTTGCAGCTACATGGTTCTGTAGATATGTTTAAAGCTCACAGAACTGTACACATCCCATAAAAGTCAGTTTTACTGTATATAAATTTAAGAGATAAACTTTAAATTTTAAAAAATAATTAAGAGCCAAGTGTTTCAGGTGTAGTGTCAGGTAATTCCAGCACTCGGGAGGCCAAGGCAGAAGGATAGCTGTGAGTTCGAGCTATGGGCTACAAAGTAAATTCAGGGCCAGAAAAAAAATTTTTTTGTAAGATTTGATTTGATTTTTTGTGTTTTTGAGACAGAGTCTCACTATGTAGTTCAGGGTAGCTGTGACTCAGTTTGTAACCCAGACTGGTCCAGTCATCCTCCTGCCTCAGCCTCCCTGAGTGCCTCAAATTTAAGATGTTAAATTCAACACACATTTATCTCTGTTCCCCTCCAAATCTCACTAAAACAACAGTAAAGAAATTCAAAATAGGTTGGGCATGGAAGTGCATGTCTATAATCCCAACACTCAGGATGCTGAGGCAGGAGAATAGCTGTGAGTTGGAGGGCATCTTGCACTATGTAGTGAGTTCAAGGCCAACTTGAACTGCATAATAAGAACCTGTCTTAAAAAGATAGAAAAAAAATCAAAGTAGGAATACAGGTATCAAAAAACATATAGTGAACTAGAAAAAACTAGTTTGATGGAAAACAGGTAGATTAATGTGTGACTTAGGTCAGAGAAATAGAATTCTGAGCCTTGCTGGTGACAGCTAACCTTTCAGAACTTTCAGTGATGCCAACAGCCCACTGTGGCACAAGGTTGCCAGGGAACTACCCATTCTGCACCCTGGAATCTCTATAGGGGTAAGAATTGGTGGACTCTGTAATTTTTTTATTGGCAAGGATATATAGGTAGATTAACAGTGGTAAAGTTCCTTGAGTCACTTTAAGGAGTAATTGGTATAATCCCAGGACCCTGGGAAGCTGAGGGAAAAAGATCACAGATTCAAGCGCAGCTTGGAAATGTGGTGATTTTATAAGATGCTGTGACAAAATTAAAAAGGAAGGAGGGGTCGGAGATGTGGGTCAGGGTGCAGCCCCCGAGTTCAGTCCTCCAACAGGAAAAAAAACAAGCAGGGAGCCATTCAGTAATCCCAGCCCTGGGCAAGGCTAAGGCAGAAGGAGTTCAAGTTCAAACTCAGCCTGGCAAATTAGTGAGACCCTGATACAAAATACAAAAAAATTTTAAAAGGGCTGGGAATGTACCTTAGTGTGGAGGCCCTGGGTTCAATTCCCAGCACTGCTGAAAAGAGAATGATTAAGCTTCTCATATCCCTTCTCTTATGCAAAGAAAAACTGCAGAGAGCTTTGGAACCTGGGGAAACAGGATGGCACACACGTCGCTGTAGCCAGGGTCCTGAATTGACCTAGTCGAGATGAAACTTGGAGATACAGACTCTAAGGGTTCCCTCCCTAGAAATGGGCTCTACTTCTGATCACCATAAAATGGAATGCTGTAGTTTTTCACTACCCTTGAAGTCACAGCAGTGTGTCCCTGATCCCTGAACTGTCATTGTTTCTCTCGCTCTGTTTCAACCCGCGCAGCCAGGAGCTGTCCAGGCTCAGTCCATTTGTGAGGCTATTTTGTGCCTTTTTCCTGTGCCTGTATTCGCTTCACCTTGGTAATCCCAGAGGATTCTACGTTTTATGCCTTTCCAAAGACTTCCTTGGATAACTGATTTAAATTTGCTCCACACACACAGAGTCTCCATCTCCCTTGCTTGTTGGATTTTTCTTCTCTGAATTTGATATAACATAAACTTAACTTTTCTCTATGTTTGCTTCCCCACCACCACCACATTGTGAACACCTGCTGTATCCCCAGCATCTAACAGCACCCGCCAAGTGCTAAACACCTTCCCTTGCCAAGTGTTCAACTGGGATGTTTTCGGGCGTCTAATTTTCTGATGTATACTTTAGTGTGCTTTAATTTCTTTATTAAATATCTGGTTGAGTATAATTTTAGTGATTATGATTCATGGCTTTAAATGTTTTTACCTATTATACATTTCCCTCAATCTATTTAATGATGTAAAAGACAGAAATAAAACTCTTAAGTTGTGTACCTTTTATTCCCCACTAACATGCTCACAGACTTTGAATTCAAACAAATTTATAAATATTGCTGGAAATCAGGCCATTTTCTCCAAAATAAGTCCAGGTACAGCAAAAATGTTACAGATGTGAGTTATTGAGAGCTGTGTGATTAAGATAATTATATCTGTGAATAAGGAACTATAGGTATGAATAAGAAAAGTCCAAAATACAAGAGCCAATGAGCAAATATGTATCAATCTGCTGAGCCTCCTATGCAAAGATTAGAGAGACAGTAGTTAAAAGGAGATTGAAACATGGTCATTCCCCCTGAAGGAGCCAGACATGACTTCAGTGAATTGTAATGAATCCAGAGGGAATGTGCGAGTCAGGGAGTAGACCTGTGGTGATAGCTGAGAGGGAAGGCCAGAGCCGGGCGCACCACCTAGGGAGTTCAGGGCCAGCCTGGACGACATAGTGAGACCTTGTCTCAAAAAAATAGTGACTGCCAATTATAACTGAATTTTAAAGAACACAGTGTAAGCTACACCCTTTCCTCCCTTCTTTCTCCCTTAGTACTAATGTTTTTGAAAACAATATAGTACTGTTTTTATGATTTATTCCAGAACATAGTGGCTTAAAAATATCTGCATCATTGTCTGTGGGTCAAGAATTCAGGAATAGCTTAATTAAATGCTCTGGTAATCTGAGGGGTCCCTGAGGGTATTGCCCTCAAGATATACTGGCTGGGGCTGCAGTTAGCTAAAGACTTAAGAACGTTCACTTCCAAAATGGCTCACTCACGTGGCTGTTAGCAAGAGGCCTCAGCTTAGCACTGGCTGACACTGTGAAGCAGTAACTCACTCACCTTCTGCTGAGAGGTCCCAAAAAGGGCAAAGCTGTAAAGGTATCTTTTGGTTGGTGGTTTTATGATCTAGCCTCATGTAATACATTTCTCAAGTCTGCAGCATCCTAAGGATTTTACAGATTGGGGCCATTCAGCCCGGAAGAGGACTGTGCAGGACAAGGACACCTGAAGGGTCACGGAGGCCATTTTGGAAACAAACGACTTAGAGAATTATTAGTGTCTTCAGTATCATTTTAGTACAGAAGAGACAGAATGTTAAAAGTTTGACTATTTATGACTGTAAGAAAAGATTTTATAATTACAGATGTTAAATTTTTAAAATTCCTTTAATATTATCTTATTAACTCTATCCTTACTCATATTTATGAAGATGACAGTTGTACGTAATCACGTTATTTAAAATGAGACATTTCTGATGAGATACAGATAATGTATCTTCTCTTTCTCTTGGAAACTAATAGCTTTACATTACAAAATGCCTAGAAAAAAATGGACTACCAGCTATAACAGGTTTCAAACTCCTGGACAAATGTAGGTCTGTGGGCTAACTAAGTCAGTCGATTTGTTCAGTTTATTAAGACAAAATTAATAGCTTTAAACATTAAGAGAAGCTTATGTTGTTTTTAGAATACAGAATACAAAGGGGAATACTGGGCAGAACATCCTACGATAAAAATTTTTTGGGAGGTGTTTCATGAATTACCATTGGAAAAGAAAAAACAATTTCTATGTAAGTATTTCTAAAGTAAGTATAAGTAATAGTTCCTTGTTCTGTGAGACAATCTAATTATTTAAATTTGTTCACATAGAATATTGATTTACTCACTTTAATGGATTAGATTTTTTTTGGTGGGGGGACAGTGTCTCTCACTATGTAATTCAGATTGGCCTTGAACTTCCTCATATCTCAGCCTCATGAGTCCTGGGATTACTGGTGTGTGCCACTACATCCACATCTTAATTATATGTGTTCATGTATAAAATGCTAAATTCAGTTTGTCGCCAAAATAGCATGGATTCTTAGAAATGAAGCAAACTAAAGCTAGGCATGGTAGCATGCTTGTAATCGTAGCATTCAAGAGGCGGAGGCAGGAGGATTGCCATAAATTCAGGGTCATCCTGGGCTACATAGTGAAGTTCAAGGCCAGCTTGTACTGTATAATGAGACTCTGTATCAAATAAAGAAAAAAAACTAATTGTAATAACGATGATGTAAGATTGTATACTTTCAGGATTTCTAAAAATATCTTTGGAGGATAGCTCTTGTCAATGTTTGGTCCAAAACTTTGGTTTTGTTTTTTTTTTTTTTTTTTTTTTTTGTCTTTTTCCTTTTTATCAGTACCGGGGATTGAACTCACGACTGCCTGCTTGCAGGGCAGGGACTTAGGCCGCTGAGCTAAACCCCCAGCCCCTGGTCCAAAACTTTGGGAGTTTTTGTAGAAAATAAATTTTTTTTCATGTGTTAAAATCTGAATTCTGATTGAAACATGATTTGTATTTAAATCATTGACCCTGCATTTCATAGAACTTCAGTTGCCAAGAGTATTTTGAGAGTCTTGGTTAAATTTTTTCCTGTATCATAAGGATGACAGACTATTATTCTTTGAAAGTAATTTTATTACTCTCCATTAAAAATTTATCAATAAGCCGGGCATGGTGGCTCACGCCTGTAATTCCAGTGGGAGGCTGAGGCAGGATTGTTGCGAGTTCGAGACCAGCCTTAGGCTACAAAGTGAGGTCAAGGCCAGCCTGAACTACATAGTGAAACCCTGTCTCAAAAAAGAAAAAAAAAAAAAAAACTTGTTTTCTACAAATTCTGGAAGTAGATTTTTAGTGCAGATGTGTTGGAACTGTGCCATGATGACTATTAACTACTCTCTTGCTCAAATGTTTTTCTTGGCAGTATTTTTGACAGGTAGTGATCGCATTCCTATTCTTGGTATGAAGAGCCTGAAACTAGTCATCCAGCCAACAGGAGGTGGTGAGGAGTATCTCCCGGTTTCTCATACCTGTTTTAATCTTCTTGATCTTCCAAAATACACAGAAAAAGAAACTCTGCGCTCTAAACTGATCCAAGCTATTGATCACAATGAAGGCTTCAGTTTAATATAACTTTGGAATTGCAAACTATTCTGTTCAGTGCAAAAGCATTAAAATTATTTGTGTTTTTCTTGTGGTGATGAATTCAGCAAAGTGTCAGAGGTACTATTATAATTCTTACTGCAAAACGTTTGATGCTGTATTCATGAAAGCCAAAAAATACTAAAATGAACAAATACTAAATTTATTGTACAAAACCATGAATTTTTTCCCCATCATAAGTATACTGTTGTGAACACATTAAAGTTTTACTAACATGCTTTAAGAATTTGAGTATCTCAGAAATGGTCTGATGTGTGTGAGTGCATGAAATTGTTACTTTTCAATCACCGGGTGAAAAACCTTTAACTTCAGCCTGGAATAGTCATTTGATTATTTTTCCATCTTGTAAATAATGTTAAGTTTTGTAATAAAATAGTTATGTTCTGATACCAGTACAGTTTCCATGGTTATAATTGAACAGAGATGACTTTTAAAGGTTAAAAATAATGATTTAATCTTACTCTAAGCTTCTATAAAGAAAAAAAGCATGGTAGAACCAGTCTTTGCCCTTTTTTTTTTTTTTTTTTTTTTTTTTTGCTAGAATGAATGATGTCTGTGCAACTTATATTACAGATAGGAATTACACTAAATAAGTAACTTGCAGTTCTTTCCTCTCTGTGAACCACGAGATGCTGATAGGTTATCAGAGCTTGCTGATGCTCATGGAGGAACTTTTGTCTCCAGTTGCCAGAAACATACATTGGCTACTATGAGAACTAGTCACTGACAGCTTCCAAAACTATTGATGCTTCAGGTTAATACTTAGTCCATCTGCAGTTCTTCAGAACTATATCCTTGAATTTTCAGAGACAAATTTTAACAGTTTTATGGTGCTGATGCTTAATTATCTCGTCATTAAATTGTAAAAATGAGTTGATGCAATACACGTGACTTTCTGCTATAATGCAAATATTTATTTTTTAAATTTATAAAAATATGCCATAGACTTTAAATAATAAAGATTTCTTGGTTTAATATTTAAACTTTCAGTGGTTCTCATACAAGATTCAAAATTCTTCAACAAGGGGCCTTCTCAGGAAAAGTGGATTGTGTTCCCATTCGCACATTAATGTTTAGAGGTCCAGTCACATCTAAATTCCAAGAAAAACTGTGAACAACTTTTTCTGTATCTCCTTTTGCATCAAACCTGATCTGAATCATTGAGGTATTTGTAGTCACTAAATGGGACTGTGACTTTTTTGGGTGCTACATAACATACTTTCAAAACTATTCTGCAGAATTGATAAAGCCAAAGGCTTGTGTAAGGGACTGTGAATGTTATTTTTCAGTAGTTTAAATACTGGTGAAGCTATGGGTACTAAACTTCCATTTCCCTGTGCATCCACCCATTAATTCCTTGAGGGTGGTCATTATTCAGACAAACACGTGTCAGGTGCTTTTTTCATTAGTGACATTGAAAAATCTCTAACTTGGTATGGTAGTGTACACCTGTAATCCCAGCACTGGAGGACTGAGGCAGAACTCCAAGTTCAAACCCAGCATGAACTACATAGTGAGACCCTCGGGGAACACATAGCTCAGTGTAAGGGCCTCAGGGTAGGTCCCCAGCCCTCCAAAATCTCTTGTACTTTGTAGATGGGTAACAGAAAATATTTAACAGCTATGGATTTCTGTAAGAGTGTCTGGGTGGTAGTCTTCTAAGGTCCATTCATTGGGGTCAGCTTTTAACTTAACAGAAGTTTTGGCCTTCTTTACCCATTTCTTCCTGCATTAATTAGCAGGCCTGAAGTGAAGCGTACTTGGTGCAGTCCTTCCCTACAGGGCACATGTGAGCTCTAGACCAGGGCAAGTACATCTTGTCCTCACTGCACTCCACGGCTCTTCTGCACGTCCCTCCGTGCTCGGCTCAGTATTTCCTTGTAAGCCCAAATTACTAAATTGATGAAATATTTCTGAAAATAAATTGTGAGTCCTTATGTAAGTCTAACTCCTTTTTTTAGGTCAGTTCTGGAAAGGGAATGTTAAAAATCAGAAGAGAGCTGTCCTATACCTTTCCAAACAACTATGTTTCTCAAATCTGGCTGTTTTTGGAACACCTGGAGGTACTTTTTAAACTTCTGTACAAGCCCAGCCACAAGGCAGTTAAGTTTCTATTCCTAGGTGGTTAAGGCTCCAGCTGTATATATTTTCAGACAGTAGTAATAGTCACCATTTGACAGCTGCCATGCAAGAGGCCGTTGGGCCCATTCTCCATTGTGTGCCTGCTAATAACCTAGCATGTGGACCTGAGTGGGTTTAGGTAAAGATCCACTAGATGTAGAGGCCCGGTGCCAGCACTTGGAAGGCTGAGGCAGATCATTGGGAATTCAAGAATTTAAGGGCTGTCGTAAGAAAAACAAAAAACCTTCTAAATTAAAGCTTAGCTGATAATAACATGAAGTACCATTGACTGAAGGTACACCATTATTTTATGAAAAACTAAGAAAACATTCCTAAACCATCACATGACATTAAATTAGCATGTTACCATCAGTGAGTAGATGTTACCGTAAAGGGGTTGGAGAAGTGTATGAGTAACAAGCATTAGGTTTTGCTGGGTGTATTCAATACTTTTTTTCCTTCATCCAATTTGTGTACCTAATGGAATATCAACTGTTGCTTAATTTTGGGACAGTAATGCCTCAGTTCACAGACATTTCTGTTCTCAAAAGTGTCTTGACTGAATTTTGCTTCCATTTCATTCACGAACTCCAGCTCTCACAAAAACAGTAGTGGTTATGTTCCCCAAATTCATGAAAGTTTGTGAACTGAGCTGCCACAGTACTATGGAAGATTTTAACAGGTAATTTCTCTGGTACTACCCAAACCAGCACTGTTTACGTTCACGTAACAAGTTGGCTGAGAGGAGGAGGGAATTACACTCAAGGAAGAAACTGCTGTCAAGGCTTTGCTCATCAAACAGACATTAAAAGAAACCCATTTTTGGCCTCTTGAATAGTGCCTTGTCTTAAAAGCTTGAAAGACCATGTTCTCTAGTCAACCTCAAAAAGTTGATAATGGAGGAAGGCAGTTACATGTTTGTAATTCAGTTAAACTTTTTTTTTTAAGATGGGCCCTAACCATCGTGCAACCCTGCTTAACCTGGCTTTTCAAGTCCTTAGGCATGCCTTGCTCCTTTCCCCCACACTGACCTCAGCTATTTCAGAAGAACTGAAATAATTTTTTGAAACATTTTGGTGATATGCCATTTGTTACAGCAAGCACTAGCCAGTTAGACTGTTACAAACTGCAGAAGTGTGTAAGAAGGTATCTCAGCCCTCAACGTTGTATATATTTTACAAGGTTTAAATTTTATAATTTATACAATGTAAGTTAACAGAAAAAAGTCAAATGACAATTTTAATAGACTTTAAAACAGTGTACAAGTATAAAACACTGGTTTTTGTATTTCAAAAGTTGGAAGATATCCAGTCATTAAACAGTCTACAAAACATATGCCCGTAGAATACATAAAAGACTATGTACAATATAAAAAGAGCTGAAAACAGTCTTCACTGTAAAAATAATTTAAAACAAACTTTTCAATTTAAAATATCATCTATAGCACAAACACATCATGCAAATGGAAAACTAATATGCTGCATTCTTTAGTATACCCAAATAAATTCAAATTGAGATATCTTTTAGGTAGGAAAATGGCCATTCAAAACAGTTTTCTTTGCTGGCAGTTATGGTCTAGCCGGATACCTATGCATAAAGAACAGCTATTTCAAACCTTTTTTATTGTATTTAATAAATACTAAACCAATATAGGAATACTTTATAATTTGGGAGGTAATGTTTAAAGAAAAAGCTTGGAAAATAAATGTTTACTGTGCAATTTTATAAAGCATGAATTTTTTTTGAAATGCTAGAAGCTTCTGCAGTTGAGAAAGTTGATCTCTAGTTTTAAGGCAGGCTAAGCTTTTTAAATAAAGGTACATTATAAGAACTAGCTTCATTAACTATTCTGCTTTTACAGGTTAATCTCCATAATACTAGACAAACATTTTGGTATTTATTACACCAAATCCTCCCAACAGGAGACATGTACTTTCTGGCTGAGTAATAATTAACATCTTTTTACTTTGGAACTGTAATCAGGGGCCCATTGCTCTCCACTAATGGAAAAACAACAGTCCAAAATATTACACTCTCCCCACTAACAGTACCATTCTTTCAGATTCAGAAAAGATTTGCATATTCACATCTTGGCAGTTTAATACTTGTGGGAAAGAATCAATCCAAGCTCTACCACAGTGATAGGTAAACAATGGCAAATATTTCAAAACAGGGGATACAGGCAGGCACTATTTTTTCTAAAGCAACTGAGACATTTCCAAAGCATTTATTTTTCAGGTTAAGTTTTTTGCGCCAATGTAGACAAACTACTGCATGTCTGCAGGAAATACAAAAGCCATCTGAACAGTAACTATAATACTCATTGAAACTCTTAGCACCAAGTCTCACTTCAAAAAAGTAAAGACAACTGAGTGCTCTTCCATATGTTGTTGACTTCCTTTTACTCACATTGCATGTCATCTGTTGTGATTTTTAAAAAGTTAGCTGCCACAAATTTTTTTGGACAATGCCAGTGTTTAAAAATAGGTAATTGTGCTAAAGAATCAAAAATTCAGAACAGAGATTTTGAGGACTTCAAACTATTCAAAGTTAATAAAGAAAAGTGAAAATACCATTCTTTGGTCTAGATAAGCTGTTCCCTTTACATTAATTTAACATTCCAATGGCTTTTTGAAAACTTTAAAATGTTGAAACTCACTAAGCAAAAACAAAATCATATATACATATGGGTGATATAATTAACCTTTAAAGAAAATTATAATCTTGACCAACAGCTGATTAAGGATACTTAGTACCTTTACCTTTCTTTAAAAAAAAAAAAAAAGTTAGTGTTGAGTATACAAATACAGAAATAATGGAAGTTAAAAAACTATCCATGAAAAAAAGTATTTTACCAGTCTATAAATATCACACCTTTCTGGTATCCTTACTCTACTGAGTTCACAAGTAAACATTCATTTTGACATGCTAAAGTTCCTAATGCTGGTGGAACGATTCCTGTACCTGGACATTACATTATGATTTGTTTGATGGACAGTTCATGTCTGTTACTTCCTGTTTCATGGATATAGTTTCACTAACTGCCTCTTGATCACCTCCATCAACCCCAAATCCAGTTCCTCCAGAGATCTCTGGAACATCAGGATCATCTTCCAAGCCATTGTAGAACTCTTCAATCTCACTTTCATCCTCCAGGGGTTCTTCCAAACTTGGACTCTGGCATGTACCACTATCACTGTTACTGCCACAAGAACTAGAAGATAACACATCGTCTTCAGAGTCTGAATACACCTCAGCGCCATGAAAAATG